TTAAGCATATAATGCAACAAATAGCAAGAAAATTTCTAGAGAGAGAAACCAGGGTTAGAAAGAGAAAACCAGAAAATTTCTAGAGAGAGAGAGGAACTTTTGTATCTCTCTCAAGCAAATCCGCAGACACTTGAGCAGTAAAAAGCCTCTCTTTTTTTTGTTTCCAATTTCAGCTGTTAATTGTTTCTGGTTTTCTCTTCTTTTTCCAACGTTTTTGGATCTCCAATTTGTTGGGTATTGGGGGAAAAGGGAAATATATCTCAAAAGCTCAAGTGGGTTTTGGAGATTTGGAGAGAAATTTTTGATGGGCATGTGATTTTTCTTCCTTTTTTTTTTTCTGATTTAGTAGAGAGAGAAATGGGAAGAGGGAAAATAGTGATTCGAAGAATAGACAATTCAACGAGCAGACAAGTGACTTTCTCAAAGAGAAGAAGTGGGTTACTCAAAAAAGCTCGAGAACTTTCAATCTTGTGTGATGCTGAAGTTGGATTGATCATTTTTTCAAGCACTGGCAAGCTCTATGATTATTCCAGCACCAGGTCAGAATTATTATTCATCAGATCCCTCAATTTTTTCTTTTTATGTTTTATGAACTGGGTTTGCTTTGTTTTATCATGTTATTATATATATAATTTATGATATATTATATTCCATCCCAGTATTGGATCCAATATATGTATCATTAATTAGTTAATTCTCTCCAAGATCATAAATATAATCCTTTACTCTCTTGTTGATGTTGTCTGTGATTTTCCTTTTTAAAAGGGAAAAAGAGAGGCACTCTCGAAGGATTATTGTTGTTTTTATTATTGTTAATGGTTTGTTTTTTCTTGGGGTGTGAATGGAATGCATGCGGAGGATTTGCTTTAATGGTGGAAAAACGAGATAAAAAAAAATTTTGAATTAAGAAACTAAAAGGTTCTGAAAATTAAGAACTTCGAAATTATTGGAAGGCAAATTCAAAAGATATTTGATTCTTTGTTTCTGCATGTTTTTGTCTTCGTTTTGTTTTTTTGCATGGCTAATGGCATGGCCATATATGTTAATATTTGGATCCATATTTCTTTTGCTCTAATTTTAAACCTTATTTGCCATTCCTATACTCTCTCTTCTTAGGTAGAGATTTTAACGTAAAGCCATAATTAACCACTTAAAATTTGAAAAAAAAAAAAATGTATACTAAGAAGGTAGAACCAAAATATATAATATAGTGTAACTTTTTTTTACTCTTTCTTTTCTTGACACAAAGAAATTTCGTTTGGAAAAAGGCAGCATTGACAAAAATTATTGTAGTGCTTCATGAATTGAAGTAGATGGTAAATGATAGATTCCGTTTGAAATTAGTAAAAAGATATATCTTTAGCTTTATATCATATAGTTTTAAAGGAAATGTTACTCTCATATGAGATCTCAAATAATAACTTTCATATGCTTAATTTGTATATATCTTATCTGCATTCTTGGAGTTTCAAAATCTATTGATGAAATGTTACTTACTTCGAGCAAGGAATCAACGAGTTGTTGACATTCAAAGAGTAGCAACTCCCTGATCTATATATTTTGTATTGTTGTTGTTATTGTTATTACTATCGTTGTCTTTGTTATTTATTCTTTGCTTCAAATTAAATTTGACCGCTCCTTATATTTTATTTTGATTTATATAATTTAATTTCTACTTTGGTTCATTTAAGTATATGTAATTTCAGAACGTTCATTTTGAGTGATGTACTTTCAACTTTTGTTTATTATAGTTTGTATACTTCAAAACTTCCGTTTTTACGTTTTGATCTCTATACATTTAAAAAGTAACCAATACAGTTCATATTTGCAAAATTTTTACACAAATCTTATAGGTATATAATGGAAACTCTTTAATACAAATTTTTTGCTACATTTCAAGAAATTTAGTGAATGAAAATGTTGTGCTAAAATTATTATTGAAAGGAATGAGACATAAAAGTACAAGATCAAAATTAACCTTTTAAAATTATAGGGACTACAGTGAACAAAAGTTGAATGAGTCAAAATAAAATTTTTAAAGATACACAAACTAAAATAAATCAGAGTCGAAAATACAGAGACCACAGTAGTATTTATAATATATATTTTTTATATTGGTTTTCATATACTTTCCTTTGTTACTCTAATTATATTCCTACACATTGTTTTTTATCTACTAATTGTAATTTGTATTTACATTTTATCGTACTTTCTCTCATGACCTCCTTTCATAGATTTTTTATCTACTAAAATTAACCTTTTATTTATGTTTTTTAACTACTCGGGATGTATTTCCTTCACTAATATATTTGGCATATTAATTTATTCTCTCGCATACATCATTTTGGCCGCGAGTGATAAAATTAAAAATAAAAACCCGAGTAATAGAACCTCCGATAAATACATCATTTCTACGTTACAAAAAAACGTGGGGTATGAAAATTGAACCTCCGATCTTAAAGAAACAGACAAGTGGTGGGGAACGAAAATTGAATCTCTAATCTTGAAGAAATAGACAAGTGTGTTGTCATCAGGTAGATAAATACAATTTCTACCTCAAACTTAGGCAGTTTAATTATTATTTTAGCTTTGTATATTTAATTAACTTCTCTCAAGAATGAAGATGGGGAAGACATCCTTATAATTAAACCATAAATTACACAAGATAATTATTATAAAATTAAAAAAATATTGTGGTCCTGAAACTGAAATTCAAATTTAAATTTAAAACATCTGTTTGTTTAACTCTATTTCAAGTGAAAAACAAACTTTATCAATCGTTCTTCCCCTTAAATGTATTTTTAACATGCAAATACAAATACTCTTTTCTTTTTCATTAAGATATTGAAAAAGAAAAGAGTTGCACAAACACAAAGGTGTTAAAAAATTACAAAAAACTTTAGAAGAGTGAACCCAAAGAGAGACATTATAATGCTCTTGACCTCAAACCTCCTCCCACAACCTGAGAGCCCGAAAAATTTTCGTGCTTCTTAGCCAACCAAATATTCGAAGCAACAGCGTAAAATTCAGCTTGCCAAAGTAAATGACTTTTAACTTGATGCACCATGGAGATGCCAAAAGTTTGCTTGTAACACCACACCTTAAAAGCACACCTGCATAGAACATATCCAGAGTATGTTACATTATTCATCATTCTTCATATGGAACAAAGGGTTATATATCTAAATATTTCGAAGGCGTAGTGTAATTGTCTTTAGAAAGAAAAATCAGGAATCGTCTCAATCATTGTAGTTTCTAGTTCCTTTTGATAAACAATGAAATGTAGAAAGTTGGATCTAAGCAAGTTCATTAAAAAAAAATACAAAAAAAAAAAGAGAGAAAAAAAAAAAGACGTGGTTAGAGAGTGAAAAGGTGTGATATTATGATGTTTCATGGAATAACATGATAACTAAATATTACAGATTTGATTTCGAGTGTGTGATTATGTACAGAATAATCTAATAGTTTCTATCTTATCAGCATAAGGTCGATTACCGAACGCTACAACAAGGTAAAAGAGGAGCAAAATCAGCTGATGAATTCTGTTTCAGAACTCCAGGTAATCTTCGTTCATCTACAATTCCAATTTCCTTGTTAATTTCGTCTCGTTAACATAAACACGTGCATATTTCTGTACTTTTGATGAAGCATAAGTGCGCGACCGAACATAACTTACTAGTTTCTACCAACACGTTGGGACAAATATGTAACATCATATGAAACTCTAGAGGCTTTATCCTGATGAAAAGTAGATTAACGAATCATGCAAGAAAGACCAAAGACTTTTAGGAAAAGAAAAATTTTGTGGTAGATTCTTGATCATGCAAGAAATTTCTAGTGTTGTGATCTTATTTTATAAACTTGCATCCAAATGAAGTCACAATAGGCCTCCTAAGACACTTCACACGAGGAGATACAAGAAAAATTTGATTCTTTTCCGGGCTCATTCTTCTAGGGAGGATTAATATTTAGACTTCATTACCAGAGCCTCTACTTATGTCCTTGGTTCCAACTACTGTATTCTGTGATTACTTGAACAGGACCTGTCCTAAAGATTTTACTTTTGCGTTCTTGAATTTTTATGAGTAACAAGCTAAGAACAGACTTCCTTTTGTAGCTTTTCAGTTGTGCTTCCAAGGTCTGGTGTCATATTTGGCAAATTATTGGCATGTCCACTGTTCTAAGCTTGAGTCTTCGTTTAATGGTGGAAGATGTCTTAGATCCTTTCATTTAAGGATAATAATCATTGGCAAGCTAGTCTTTTCAGTCTCATGGAATATTTTGTTGAAGAGAAACATGAAAACATCCTTAGGTATCGATAGTGTTGAGAATATATAATAAAAGATTAAATAAACTCTAACCTATTAGCTTAAGTTTTTTAGTTTAAGTATCTAACAAAGGAATTCTTTTATTTGAACCCTTGTAATGTTGTTTCCTTCCTAATTGATATTTATAGTTCACATGTTGAATGAATCAAATTAAGTATCTAAGCTCACGTGTGGAGAGTGTCGAGAATATATATAATCAGCTTAAAAAGATGCCACTATTTGGCAACATATTTTTTCTTTTACTTAACCTATTTTCTTCATGGTCAACAGTTTTGACTCCTTATAATAATATGTATACTTAGAATTAAGATTTTTGGTACCACCACAACTATTATTTAACATCATGGATACAGACTAGAGTCAAGAGGGGGGAATGACAGAAAAAAATGCATGTACCTCAAAAATTATAATTACAGAATAGAAATCATGGTATCTTGTGCCTATACAATTTTTCTTATTCATTAGAGGCAATATAATTTGCTGTTTTATTCATACGTGAGAGTAAATTCATGACTTAAACATAAATTACTTAAGATCATTAAAACAACTTAACTATGCCACAAGTAAAATTGTAATGCTAATCATCTGTTCTATAATTGGTAGTTTTGGAAAAGAGAGGCAGCTACCTTGAAGCAACAACTGCAGTACTTGCAAGAATGTCACAGGTATTCAAACTCCTGCTATGCTCGATATGTTAGACAAGGGAAAATAATCAGGCAAAAAATGTTCAAGGCGAGTAAAAGTTCAAATGTTGGTGTTCAAGTCCTCACAACTATATCTAATAAAAAATTTTCTGAAGAACTCCCTATCTCTAATCATAGATCTGAAGGACAAGCCTAGCTGGTGCCCAATTAGAAATTAGTAAAAATACTTCATAAATGAATTTCAGAGAAAACCACGTTCCACTTAACATAAGTAATTAAAAAATTCCATGTTAAATTAACGTATTCTGCAGAACGATAATGGTTTAAACTTGACTAGATATCCTAAATTAAACATGGAACTTTTGAATTACTTGTGTTATAAATTTTATTTTTCCAGATTGGTTTACTTTAGGATCTATATGATAGGTCGTTTAACCTATGAGTTGCATGAATGGTGGAATAATGGTTCAGGGCATGTTGATGATGAATCAGCAATTGAGTGAAGAAAAATAATCAATTGGGTATAGGAAAAAATAAGTTGATGTAGGAGTGTCTTTTATCTAGGTTGTTACTTTTCTGCTGGGATCAATACACAATAAGATGAGTAGAGCAAATTTTTTATCAAGGAAAGAGCCGAGAGGGAGCTCAGGACTCTCAAACTTCCTGGGCAGTCCAAAGCTAGTAGCTTGTACTGCAATTTACAATTCAGAAAGCACTTGAACTACCGTATTACTATCACTTCTTGCACTTCTATCTGAGAACTTTTCAGAATTCTACAATAGAATAGGACAAGGCATACCAATTTGCTCTTCTACCATTGTTCATGCCAAGGCTGATTAATTCTTCCTCAGAGCTGACCTCATGATTTCTCTCTACAGAAAATCATTTGTTAATTTTTTAGTGCACAAACTCTAATATATTTCATCCTTTTCTCTGCCTTCATGAGCCAAATTCCAAATGAAAACACTGGCCTATCAAATATTATATGGCTTTAAATCCCCTTCAATCATCAAATCTATAATAACTTTATATGGTAAGTGGAATGAGTGATAGGTCTTACCAATCCTTGGTGACTTGGTCCCGTAGAATTAGATTGATCATTTGATTATTATGATAAGAGGTTGATACGCTATTGTGAAGACATGGAAAGGGGCAAATAGGGTAGTGAAACCAAAAGCCCTTTCCAGTTCAATTTTATTAGAACTTCGAAGGTGGATTAAACATGCACGATTTATGAGGGAATTAAAGTTTTTTTTCCTGATAGAGAGGGAATTAAAGTTAGTAAGTAATCTGTAAATAAATTACTTCAGGAGTACAAAACATTTGTGATTTGACTAATACCTTAAGTTGTCATCCATGCTTAGTTGCTTCCAAAAAGGCACCACTGACAACCAAGATAAAATAAGATAATTCCTCTTCCTTTTTCATCGAGGTATTAGTACTTTTCTTTTTCCCTCCTTTAGGAGTTTGTATCTTTTACTCCTTTAGGAGTTTGTATCTTTTAATGAAAAGAATCGTTTCTTGTTTTACAAAAAAAAAAAAATATATATATATATATAATTCAAGCTTGAATTCATGGGTAATGTTATTGAAATATAATTCTACAATTTATGCAAATATGTAAAAGCATTCATAACATACCCCACTCTTCTATATTTGCAGACAATTGATGGGCGAAGAACTTTCAGGCCTGAGTGTCAAAGATCTACAAAATCTGGAAAGCCAGTTGGAAATGAGTTTGAAAGGTGTCCGTGTGAAAAAGGTAACAACTACAACTATAAAGAAACTTCAATAAGAACATACACCTCTTAAAACCTATTGTATTCGGATGTTTACATGCTATTGTATTTTTCTTGCAGGAAAAGATTTTAACTGATGAAATTACTGAACTAAGACAGAAGGTTTCCCCCATAGAAAATATCCATATATCTCCTTATACAAAGAAAGGATGTAACAAGGCTAACTTGCAATAATTATGTTGCAGGGGAATCAAATGCATCAAGAAAATCTGGAACTCTACAAGAAACTAGATATGATTCGTAAAGAAAATGCAGAACTGCAAATGAAGGTATAGATCCAAATAAAACTATTTTGAAATGCTTTCAAGGTTAAAAACTAATTCAAAAGTTATTCATTGAAGTTATAAGAATTCAATAGCTATTCTCACTGCTCCTATTTTTTTAACCCATCAGGATAACTTTTGGTTTCTTTTTTTTTTCTTTTTCTTTTGTGGATGGGGTGGCGGTGCTGACTGCTGACCCTCAAAAGGGACTTCTGTTTTCCTTTCAAATAAAGTTAACTGTGAGTTTTTTAAGCATCAGGCTTATGGAGCACTGGAAGTGAATAAAACAAGCAGTAGCTCAGTTCATCAATTCACTATCACCAATAGATACAGTACCCCTGGTCCCGTCCATCTACAGCTAAGGCAGCCACAACCACAAAACAATGAAGCACCAATACCAGGGATAAAGCTGGGGTATGTTCTACCAATCTGTGCTTATGACATATGAATTAAATTTCAAATTTCATTCATCTGTATAGCAATCTACACTAGACAGTTCTTTTCTCTCAAGCAAAACTGAAATAGATATAATTGGAACTTGCAACAGATTGCAACTGCAATAACAGCAGTTAGATCATGGATGATTTATCCATGATCATTTCATCAACTGGTCGTGCAGTACAAGTCATGTTCAACATGAAGATGTCTCCTGCTTCAGTCACTAGTGCATGAACGTCACCAGATCACCACTTTTGGTATGCGATGTTCTTCAAATTCTACAATGTGAAAAATTGAGCAGCCAGTCCAGATACCTATGTAAGTGTACCAATAATGACAATGCACCATATGTGCCATGTGTTGTTCTAGCTGTTTTTAAAGTTTGTTGTGCTAATTAATTAGACCAGACTCTAAAGTTGTGATGCCTATTAGCTAATGAAAATCAATGCTCATCCAATCTTATACAAGGTGGCAGAAGTTGGTAGACACTAAAATGCATATCTGATGCCTACAGTTTGGGCTTTCTATTGTTGAGTTACCATAAATGAGCTGTTACAATCATTCAAATTCTACTTTTTTTTATTTTTCTAACAAGAAAACACTTTTCATTTATCAATGAAAAGAAAAATTGGTCAAGATACAAGCCCAACAATTATTCACATTCTTTGTTAATATTCCACTTACGTGTGTTCTCAAACTTTACTATAATGATTAATGAATGAGATTCAACAATGTAAACCAGATATTAAACCATGGAAATTTTAAACCAGTAAATGAATTTAAAACTGAAGTTTTCTCTAAATCCACTTCAGCAATCCTCAAAACTTACGTTGTTAGGTTATGATTAATTAAATTGTTAATCACTCTGCTGTTCTTCCCCCTGGCGTACCCAACAATAAGTAAAATTACACATAAATGTCAATCCATGACTCATCCTTCAATTGAAAAGTGCTTTTATGAAATATTTAAGTTTAAAATATGGACAGAATGGCTGATAAACAATCTGGAATCTATGATAGAAACAATGAAATGTAGCTGGCGTAGCCATTTTTACAATTTCCAAAAGAAAACAACATTTCTCCATTTCTCCATTTCATCTTTGTATTTTGTAATTTGGATGTACATACTTTTCCCAGAAATATGTTATGCTCTCAGTCTCAGGGTATGTTCAAGCTGGCTCAGGGTTTGCTATCTCCTTTCAATAGCCCAAAAAGTTGGTTTTTCTAGGAAAAGAAATCTGATCCAAGAAATCTCATTCCTCCAGCCTCATGGTAATATGAATCCCTCCTAAAGGACCTCTGACTTTCCAACACAGAGAGACACAGGGAAAGATGACATGACTTCATCCTAATTAAACCATTTTTTTAGGATACAATTTTACTTCATTACACATGTTGTTACTATGTTGTTTTATAATAATGGTTAAAAGTTTAATTAATAGTAACTTAACCAGTAACTTTTCATTTAGATTTTCAAGCATAATAAAACATACTAATTTTGTTTCTCAAGCATCTCATTCTCATACTCACATCCCTATATTCTCAGTTATATAGGACCCAGTTTTCCAGCAAACCAAATAGCCCCTAATGGAAAGGAATGTCCATTCTATCTTATCTCTTCCCCTGCGATATACATCAGAGCATAACAAAATAAATATTATAAAATACACTAGAAGAAAACTTAAACCATATATATTTTAACCTTCTGGATAAACAAGACAATAACAAATGTCATTACCTATCGTTCACTATCCTAAACCTCGTATTGGGATGATTGTAAAATAATAACATAAAACATGAAATGACTAGAACATATGTAACTTTAGTTCAACAATGAATGTGTTCACTATCCTAAACCTTGTGTGAGATGATTGTAAAATAATAACATAAAACGTGAAATGACTAAAACATATGTAACTTTAGTTCATTAGTCAATGTAATAACATCCACACGTATCTAAATCAGCAAACAAAAATAAGATGATATCTCTAGTGATATGTAGCAGAACTAGAAATTCATGTATTATGGAGCCATACAACACATGTAGCTTATATTATCTCTAGCTGGAAGTTGAAATCATGAACATAAATATAAGATCATCCCTCCATAGGTGTACAGTTATATTCTACCTAACCATCCCTGAAATTAGTTATAACTTTTACTTGAAACATTATGTTTCTGATCTCAAAAAACAAAACAACGATAAAACAAGACATACATACACCTATTATTATATAATTTCATTCTAATACTTGACGAGAAATAAATTTCAAATTAATCAGTATAAAAGCAGCAGTCAGAAGTTACAGACCAAAAGCAAGAATGCATCGCATACTGTCCCGATTGTAAAGCTGTAAACTGTTTTGTTTTACCTTGACAACTAAATGTAGTAGGATAACCAATGAGTGATAAGCAATTATAACTCACAAGTAAACAAGAAAAATGTAAAAGAATAACATAGACAATTAAACCACCAAAGAAAACAGCAGAGTAGTGAATACATATACATTTCTCCTTGCATCACAAAAAAGTTCAAGATTGTAAGCATGAAAAAGCTATACTGTACTAATTTACCTGATTGACATTTGACAACATGCACGGAGACCATGAATTCACTTTCAGAAGAAAATATCACTTACGAATCATTTAGCCATATAAGTAAATTAGAATCATTCTTAACTTAAAATCATGTTTAAAATAAAACATGAGGCATAAAAGCAAGAAAATAACTATTACTTATCAAAGGCAGTAAAAATCTAAGTTTAAGTTTAGTATCACCAACTTTAGCTTGCAAAAAGATTTACGTCTTTTCCACACCTAAAACTAACACATGCTTTATTAATTGGTTCAGTATAAACTTTAAGCTCTTGTTCGTTAACATACTCAACCCCTTGTGGCTAACCGTTTGGAGAGATCTCCAGCCTAAAGCTTGAGGTCTTATTGGGTGAAAAGTTTTGTAAACTTGAAAGCTATCACTGGATCTTTTCGGGCATTTCATGTTCCTATACAAGTGCAAGAACAAAGAGAACATCAATAGTCATTCCAAGTGGTATAAACTTGCTAGAGAGATATCACAAACTCGCAAATTTTAAAAATAAATCAAGATGGGCAGAATCAACCCTACGAAACTAAAATAAAATCATTTAATGATTGATTCGGTTATGTTTAATACGTCCCTTTAGGGTCAGTTTTAAGAGTTTTTGTAATTATCAATTAGGTGTTAGTACTTTTGGATTGGAACCCCATTCTCTGGGAGGTGTTCTCTAGTCGGGCTATTATTTTTATGCCTTTATATATCTTTTCATTTATCTTAGTTTGGTTTCTTATCACAAAAATAGTAATAAATAATAATAATAATAATAATAATTAATGACAAAAATCAATAAATTATCAAGAGATAAAGTAATAGGACTTGTCAAACCTTATCAAAATTTGAAGTTGCAAATCAAGAGATAAAGAAATTTGAGCGTAGCCAAGGCCCAAACACCCCCCTCAAGAGCTCTCCAAAATTCTAAAGACTCCCATTTCTCTCCCATCAAATGTTTCAGAAGACTAACCAGAAAACTTAAAAAAAAAAAAAAAGCCAAACAGCCGCTCCAATCCCAAAAGGGATGAAACAAACATCCTCCAACATAAACCAAGAAAACTTGCTCTCAGCCAAAGCCGTCTACACTCCATATGCCTCCAAAGAAAAACTTACCCAAATTACATCGACAAACTAACATCTCCACAAAATATGCTTCAAATCCTCCTATGCACTCTTGCAACCACTAAGGTCCCAGAAGAAACTTGACAATCTAGGCATAAGGTCAATGGTGTTAGCATCCCATGAGCAACCCACCAAACAAAAAGACTAATCTACATGGGATTCTCACCTTCCTTAGGGATGAGAACAAAGAATGAGGTGAGAACACCACAAAAGAGAGGAAAAGAAGCTACGAGAGAACTCCCCAAGCGAATTAGGGGCCCAGAATTGAAGATCTGGCCCCCGAAAGAGGTCTAGATCTGGTCCCCAAAAGAGGATAGAGACCAGCATAGATAACAACAAAGAAATGTCCAAAGACTCATAATCAGAAAAAAGGACGCCAAAACCAAAATTTTACATGAGTAGTTCAAAAAAAAGAGGATAGAATCCACATAAGCAAATTCTAAAGAGGATAAATGTTAAAGGCAAGAAAACAGAAGGCAAACGGGGCTTTCCCCCACCCAGAAATCCTCCTAGAAAGGAATCGTGGAACCATTTCTAATAGAGAACCTCGAGAAGCTAGAAAAAGTCATGTACCAAGAAGCATTATATTTCCAGAGCTTTCTAAGTGTGCCATTGACCTTATGATTTGTAATTCACTCGTTAACATGAAGATAGTACTTGACAGCAACAGAATGCCATGCACATGACAGCAACTTCCGGTTAGTAAATGGGAAAAGAATTGGTGTAAATCAGGGTTTTGTTGAATTACAAGTTAATGTAGTACAATAATTGGGGTAAAATAGAACTATATTCACTTCTATTTACTTTGATAATATTTAATTCTTATACGTCAACATTGATTGTTCTTACTTTTATTCATTTTTGGGATCTGAAAGTAAAATTAAGAAACATTGAACGCAATAAAACATGATATGCATATTTTATTAACCATTCATTATATAAATACAAAGATTAATATTGACCAAAAATAACAAGAATCCTGATATTAGTAAAACGTCCATATCTGACATAAAAAGTCCTTATTAGATAGACATAACACTTAGCACGGTGCATCTAAGATACAAGTAGACAATAATCTAAGCAAGAATATATATAGATATATATAAATTTAAAATTTAAAATTTAAAAAAGGAAAAATTTATTCTTGTTTAGCATATGAGGCTCCTGCAGGTCCAACAATGATCAGTTAACAATAAAAAGGATAGGCAATGGTATGCCCTGACTACAAAAACTAAACAAGATATTAAATCATACAAGATCGAGAAAAAAATTTCACATTATTAAAATGGAGATTTATTTCCAGAACAGAAGGTCTACTTCGACATTATTAAACTCTAAACTTTATCCTCTGGTTCCCAAGCTCTATTATTTATAACAAGTTTCACAGAAACAAATTTCTTCAAAATATCAAAGGTTAAAAAGTAAAAACAGCTACATTCCCAATAAGCTACTCGAAATCTCCTCCCCTACACGGCAATTCCTTGCGTTACATGCTTGCATCCAGTTCCAAATTCACCAGAAAACACGCAGACCTCAAATGAGTTAAAAGATTAAAATAAATGAATATTGGAAGAGTACCTTTGTAATTCCACACCCATTTTTTCTGGTGGCCATCCATCAACAGCCCGAGTTTCACCTATCATGACGTCGAAGTTTAATAAGATAATGAACAAGTATTGCAGACATTGATTTATCAATTAATTTATTAGACAACAATAGACATGTTAAAAATTGTATGGATGCAATGTCTCTAATGCTGCATTCTTTAAAATAATCAAACAACTCATCAAGAAATTGAATTATTACACATTTCGGCTAGCGCATTACACACCGCGCGTCAAAATTCTAAAACAAACAACAAAACAAAGTCTCAAATATTTCATCTGAGAAACAACCGGCGCCATTACCCCGGCCATGCATCCATCGGATACAAGAAACCAAACTTCCATCGAAAAAACAACACACAACGATCGAAAATCAAAGATCGTCTACTAGAAAAGGCAGGAAGAAAACGTAAACACCGTATCAATCAATGTTCAGCGTAGATGAGGAGAGAACTAAGGAGACGGCATTACCTGGAAACGCATAGCTCGCATGAAGAAAGCGAATATGCCTCCGAGTGAGAAGGAAAAAAAACCGGTACGGAAGATTCCGAACAAGAAGCATAGCAACAGCTCAAAAACCTAGAAAGCGATGAAGAATTCCGACGTGAGAGAGAGAATCGTATACAGGGAAGTGATTTTCCATGGCCTTCATTCATCTCGCTTTTTGCCGCGGATTGAGAGAGGGAAGGACGGATCAAAAATCGAAGCTCGCCGCGACGAGGAGAGAGAAGAAAATATCTCGGCCATGTCCGGGGAAATGAAATAAAAGAATGTATGGGTTCTGATTCTCTGCAGCCAAAACCATGACAAGCAATTGGTTTCGTACAGCTGGCGAATTTCGAAGCGTGGAGTTGGAAAGTGAAATGACGACTTTAACCCTAAGTGGGCGATTTGGAGTGGTTGTGGGTGTACGGAAGTGAGAGGGAACTGATTTTTGGGGCCCACAAATAGAAACTTAGGACACCGTGCCCCGGACAAATTGGACAAAAGGGAACCAAGTTGACAAGTGTTAATAAAATGTATATTATTTTATTATTTTTTATATTACTTGTGGGACTTTTATTATTATTATTATATTTCTTATGTTTTCAAATGTGATTAAATTACATATTTGGCCAACGTAACTTCTAACATTGTGTCTATTAATTACTATTATTAACATGTTTAGCAAATTCCAAAAAAAAAAAAAAAACCATATTGTGGTGGGGATCGAACTCAAAACCTATCGATTAGATCGCTAAATCCTGCTCACTTTAGTCATATTTAGCAATATATACGTTCAATATTCATTTCTTAAAATATATATGAAGTGATATAATACAGTAGTTAGTTGGACATATTAAGAATTAATTGGTAAATATGTGTGTGAATTAGATTTAGGAGATTAATTGAGTTTTTTTTTGACACGTCATGGGATTAATTGAGTAATAAATTACTCACTCAATTTTCCAAATTTGTCCGACTGATTTTCAAGACATATTATCCAAATTTCATAGAAACGAGGGCCAATCCATGTTTCTCCCACGATGTCAATGAAAATGACTGAAAATAAGCATAATTAAAGGTTAGATATAAAATTAATATCTAGGCATAACCAAATATGTAATTTAACATTAATATGATATAACCACATATATTCCTAACTTATTACTATTATGACAAAAAACAGCATGTTCCTACCACATTTGATCATCAACATAACTCGTAAGATATTAAATCTTTTTACTATTTACATAGGTCCTTATTTACTATTAGACCACATCATGATGATTCCCACCAAAGATATCATCGGCCATCTTGGAGTGTTGTATGTAACTTCACAGAGCAAGTTCAGAAGAGTGGGCAGCCATAAACCACCACACCCTTGGCTGTAGGACAAGAAGCCAAGTCACAGTGCTCACCTGCAGTGCCCCACCAGTCCACACTCTTTCCCTTCATGCCAAATGATAAGTACAGCAACACAGCCATGAAAGCCAATCCCCCATCCAATGCTGCTGAAAGAATGTAGTTGTATCTCTGCCACCACTGCTTCCGATAGCGGAAGACGAAGAAGTTGAACACGGTTCCTATCAGAATCCAGGAATTGTAGTTCAGGGCCATATTTGCGGTCGCCCCGAGCAAGACGGGGAGATTGATGAGAGGAATCCAGGATTGTTTTGGGAAGGCTCTGTGAAGTAGCCATACTAAAACTGGCCCAACTGCACCAACAAGGAAGAACCAGTTCAAAGTGCCATAGAATCCTTGCGATCCGAAAATCCGCTTTGGCCCAATCAATCCCCATATGATTGATATGCTGAAGAAGACGCGGTCTTCCGGACATGTCCACGGGCTATTTGGAGGAAGGAGATCCACTTGACATATATTTTTTATGGAATTTAAAAGCCACCACGCCACACAAAGGTTGATGGTTCCGGCAAGTATTGTACCTATGATCTATATTATACAATTCATAATCCAGCAAATATAAGCCAGAAGTCGAATAAGTCGAATAAAAGCAAACAAGGAGTTGTTTTGTCTCAAATAATGAAAAAAAAAATGGTAGTTTAAGTCAAGTGACTACAAAAGCTATTTGGTGTTCTCTCCACGTCTTCGCAATATCAATCCACTTTAAACGTAAACTTTCATGGCTTTACTTTTTGTTTCACTCAAAATGTTTCATACCAATAAACCTATGATGTTCCTCTTATTTAGGCAACAAAAATATTTGAATATTTAACGAAAATAAATAGAATGGATATTTCTAATAATTTGATAATCAATATGTGTGTATATATATTCAAAAGCATAATAAATAAAACAGAATATTCGAATGATCTAACTAAAGAAATGCAACCAGACCTGAACTAAGAACATTGATCTCGGAGGAATCTTCATATAATGCCCAAGCTTGAAGTCATTGAGGAAGGAGATAGCTTGACCCATGCTTACATAGCCAAAGGTTTTGAAACATACGTTGGCAATTGGTTTTTCGGGATGTATCAGTCCCATAACATACTCTGTGACCACGTTTAGCCCTATTGTCTGTTTTGATCATGGTACAACAAAGAAAATAATATATTTTAAGATTCAAAGACATTAGGAAAATTGTAAAATTTGCACTTTAAATTGAGGACACGAGGTTATGGTTTCGTCAATGGTTCTTTTCACCATTTACTTGACAACTAAGAGGTCATACGTCATTTTCTAAAAATCTAGGACACATTTATCAAAATATTACAATTTTGTTAATTATATATCATTTTTGTACATGAAGAAAATTCAAGATCAATAAGCTTGTGCATTTCTATGTTTAAAAAAATGGGTTTGATATATTCTACTATCAAAATTTCTTATTTTGTCCGGTATTACTATTTATGTCTATTTCTTATGCTTAACAAGTGTTCTATGAGTGTCTAACAAGTATCGAATCTATATTCAATTTGTACTAGTGTATAACACATATAACACACATCTATTGAGCAACTTTTAGTGGTTGTTTCATAATGACGATAAAATTAGTGATTTTAAAAAAAATTTATTTTCTAAAATCACCCATCAACGATACCTTAAAAATTAAATAAAAGTAATTTTAAATTTTCATAAAATTAATTTTTTAATTTGCATTGATGGAAAATGGTGATTTTTTGGCGAGCTTGGCTCCCAACAATTAGGGGTGTTAAAAAAACTCAACAACCTACGAACTTGATGAATCCAATCAAAACCGTAAGGGTTGGGTTGGGTTAGATGAAGCCTCAAGTTGGGTTTGGTTGGGTTGTGATTTCCCAACCCGGTCGAGTTGGGTTGAACCTTTAAAAAATTGGGTCAACCTGACCTTATATATATATTTACCTTCAATGTGAACGACCTATTTAGTTTTAATCCTAGGATAACCCTTCATTTAAGTTTTTCATATTATATTATTCTATTTTGCATCTTAATTTCAACCGTCTATTTAATTTTAATCCTACCTCCCCGTCGCCATCGGGATAATTAAAAATAAAAAAACACAATCCTACTACCCAATCCGATTCAACTCCAAAAATATTGGGTTGGGTTGACCATCCAATTCAAATCGGACTGTTCCATATATGACTAGCCTAGGCAGGGGGGAGTAAAAGGGTGGGAATAGATTGTAGTGAATTGTGGGAGTTTCTAAGGAAAGCTATCTTCTCAAAGTAAAATCTTCAAAAGGATGGAGTTCCAGCAAAACCCTTTCTAARGATGAGGACGTCGGGAGTTCGCTCGAAAGGACTGGCGTACCAAGGGGGATCTTTCGATCACTCTGTTAGATCCAAGGCACGTCTTCATCAAGCTCTCGAACAAAGAAGATATGCACCAAAAAACAAAGAGAAGTTTTTGATTGAGGGGTTGATGTTTAAGGTAAATTTGGGTTGGTTCCAAAATTACTCCTAACCTGATCGAAACCAAATTTAGATTAGATCACTTTTAAGAAAACGTATTTTTTGTTTTTTATAAATACATACATATTTTATTTAAAATAATATTTATTAAAAGTATATTAAAAGGAGTTTCTCACACCAATCACAGTTGTAAATCAGAAGCATTCAAACCCTTCGTTCCTTCTCTCCCAGCAAAATTCAAAACCCTCAGTCCTCCCCTCTCCGATCGGCTGCGGTTGTTGTTTCTTCTTCCATTCCTTCATCATATATGGCGGACGAGCCAGTTCCTCCATCTACGTCGTCGGTTTCTTCTGCTGCTGCTCCCCTTGGCAGCTCCGTGATTCCCATAGTTAACAAGCTACAGGACATCTTCGCTCAGCTCGGAAGCCAATCCACCATCGAGCTCCCGCAGGTCGCTGTTGTTGGCAGTCAGAGCAGCGGCAAGTCGAGTGTTCTCGAGGCTCTCGTCGGCCGCGACTTCTTGCCCAGGGGTTCTGAAATATGCACGAGGAGGCCACTTGTGCTTCAGCTACTGCAGACTAAGACTGCCGAGGAATACGGTGAGTTCCTCCACTTGCCGGGGAAGAGGTTCTACGACTTTTCTGAGATTCGGAAGGAAATTCAGGTGAGGTTTTAGCGCTTTTTTCTGCTAATTTGATTTGTGTTTTGATCTGGAAGAAACTGTAGAAGTGTGGAGGTCGGTGTAGATTTAATTTGCTTCTGCTTATCCTCTCATCAGAATCGAGGACGAATTAGATAAGATTCCTGACTGATGGCATTCACTTGGATTTACTCTCAAGTATCGGGTTTCTTTTTATCGTCTACTTGTTCAATTAGTGATAGCAACTACGGTTGATTATTTATCTTTTTCAATGTCATTTTGATCGGGACGAGCATCGCAGTTTGATTAGCTCCATTTCTTTAATCATGTAGTTCGATTAGCATCATGTAGTTCAATTAGTGATAGCCACTACGATTGATTATTTATCGTTTTCAATGTCATTTTTGATCGGGACGTGCATGTAGTTCGATTAGCTTCATTTCTTTAATCAAGTAGGGATGGTTTTTCGTTCCTTTTTCATTTTCAAGAGCGACGATGTAAAATGATTTTTGCCATGATTAATACGTTTTTGGTATTGTTGTATAGTCTGAGACTGAGAGAGAAGCGGGTGGAAACAAAGGTGTCTCGGACAAGCAGATCCGGTTAAAGATTTTCTCCCCAAATGTTCTTGACATCACACTTGTTGATTTGCCTGGCATTACAAAAGTTCCAGTTGGAGACCAGCCGTCTGACATTGAAGCACGAATTAGGACAATGATCATGTCTTACATCAAAGTTCCAAGCTGTTTAATTCTTGCTGTTACACCAGCAAATTCTGATTTAGCTAATTCAGATGCTCTTCAGATCGCAGGAAATGCTGATCCTGATGGTGAAGTTCTACTATATGATAACTTTAATGACTTGACTTATCGTAACATCTCTTGGTATTTCTGCCTGTGCCTTACGTTTTTTTTTTTCTGCTGACAGGTATACGAACCATCGGTGTGATTACTAAGGTGATATACAATCTGCTATGATCTTTTTTAATCATTTCAACATGCAATGCACATTCTGATTTTATTTGCTCTATTTGACAAATTGAAACTACAGTTGGATATAATGGACAGAGGTACAGATGCACGGAATCTTTTACAAGGGAAAGTGATCCCCCTGCGACTTGGTTATGTAGGGGTTGTCAATCGCAGTCAGGAGGTGAGCATAAAGTTAATAGGGGAGAAGTGGTTACTTAATTTACTGATGTATGTTAGTTAACTCCTATTCAAGGTCCAGTCTTGCATAAAAGAAGTCTTAATTTCAATTTGATTGTTGGGAAGATGTGATATTTTATTCTTCCAGCTCTCTTTGTCCCACTCGAGAGCTTTTGTATCTTCCTGTAGGTTTTCAGCAATGTTACTAATTGTAGAGTAAAATGAATACTACCTTAAGGTAATTTGGCATCCATAGATTCTACATAGTAATTGAGTTATTTGTTGAAATTTTGTGTCAGGATGGTTACTGTTTGCATAAAGTTAAATATGATTTTAGTTTGGTGATAGGGTAGTATTTCCAATTTGGCTGCTATGAAAAAATTTTAACTCTATGATCAAATATTGTTTATTAATGGACCTAGAAATTTGTAGTCATTGGATATATATACTGATTGGACTTTTCTAATTGCGTCATTGAACAGGATATTTTACTGAACCGGAGCATTAAAGATGCCCTTGTGGATGAGGAGAAATTTTTTCGCACCCATCCTGTATGATCTAATTATAACAGAGCTCAATATAAGTTTCTAGGAACATATCCATGTGTTCTTTACTTATTATTGAACTGTACAGGTATACAATGGTCTAGCGGATCGCTGTGGCGTTCCTCAATTGGCTAAAAAATTGAACCAGGTATGCTAAGCATCAGTCCCAAGATGATTGGTTGTGCTTATCATTTCTCATACTATACAATTTCCATTTTTGTTTTCTCTCATTATTTTTAGTTTTCACAGAGAATTGTCGTTTTCTTTTGTTCCTATTTTTTGTGTGCGAGTCTGCAATCTTATATAACTTTTGGATCACAAGGAAGTCAATGGTTTTAAACTCTAATAAATTTATCTGGCCCTAATTTTATTTGCAGGTTCTAGTACAACATATTAAAACTGTACTTCCTGGGCTGAAGTCACGTATAAGTGCTGCCTTGGTTTCTGTTGCAAAAGAGCATGCTAGTTATGGAGAAATAACAGAATCGAAGGTTCTCAATTTTCTTTTGCCTTCATATTCCTACTGGTTTAGGTCAATTAATTTATATCACATGGTTCAGTTGTTTGGTAGCTTGCTCATTCATTCTCATCAAAATTTCTATGACATGGAATGGATAGCATGCAATCACGCAATGTTGTTGCTTATGTAAAATGCTGTAGAAAGCTAGTGGCATCTATTTATCTGTTCTCAAGATATATGTTGACATTGTTAATTATGAACTTTTCTTGGATGTGATGGCTTCTTATATTCAACTATTGATCATGGATAGGCTGGTCAGGGCGCTCTTCTTCTCAATATTCTTTCAAAATATTGTGATGGTAATAATTACTTTTCTTTTGTGCATACATTTTAATAATCACAACTCATAAGTTGTATGTTCCTCAAGTATGGTTTGAGACATACAACGTACAAATGATTGTAATTTTCTCTTTTTTGGTTGGCTACAGTATTTTGTTCCATGGTTGAGGGAAAGAATGAAGAAATGTCAACGCACGAGCTCTCAGGTGGAGCTCGCATTCACTACATTTTCCAATCAATCTTTGTGAAGAGTTTAGAGGTCTGTATTTTTGTTATTTATAGACTTTAGTTTTAATTAGATTACATACAGTATTTTATTAATATTAGGTTTTTGTCATTCTCCGTGGGGACCATGTGCATTTTTATTTTTGCTTAACAATCACTGTTAATACAGTTGCGTAAGATTTGAATCATACCCAAGGGATTAGTAACACCTTTTTCTATTCAATCTAGCTAAATAAGGCATGATTGAAAAAACCATTGGTAGTTTGGAATTTTAATTAATAGACAAAGGACTAAGTTGAAAATGACAGAAACTTAACAACTGAATCTTAGTTAACATAGAAAGGCTATTTTCAACATTTTGTCATTGTAGGCTTATATATCATGTCAAATTGTAATTGTGATTGTATATTTACTAACGTAAGTGGTGAGTAAGGTGATTTCGATGTTTGAGTAATATTTTAGTATAGTTCCTTTCAACACTTTCCAAATGCTTTATGTTTGCATGTCATGGTGATGGAACTGTAGGATTTAAGTAATAACGTCTTGTGCAGGAAGTGGATCCATGTGAGGATTTGACTGACGATGACATTCGTACTGCGATTCAAAATGCAACCGGCCCTAAATCTGCATTATTTGTACCGGAAGTATGTCTTATTCTGTTTACTTCTTTTTGTGTCTCTCTCTCATAAAGTCATAGACCAGTAACTTTGTCACTTCTAATTCAAGAAAGTATATTTTGTAACAATTAAGAGTTCCTTTTCCTTTTTTATGGTTTGGGTGGGGAATGGAGGTTAACATCGAGGCCTTTCACATATGCAGGTGCCCTTTGAAGTTCTTGTTCGTAGGCAAATTGTTCGCTTACTAGACCCCAGTCTTCAGTGTGCCAGGTTTATATATGATGAGTTGGTAAAGGTAGGGGTAGGGATAATTGCATGCGCTCTGTGTTTTCGCTGTCCATCATCAGTTTATAGATTTTCAATATAATTTCTATTTTCAGATCAGCCATCGATGTTTGGCCAATGAATTGCAAAGGTTTCCTGTACTGAGAAAACGTATGGATGAAGTTATTGGGAACTTTTTGCGAGAAGGTCTTGAACCCTCAGAAACAATGATAGGACATATTATTGAAATGGAGGTAGGATATAAAATTACGTACACTTTCATTATCATCCCCTTTTTTCTCAAGTGTGTTGAAATAGTTACTCTGAAAACATTGTCCAAAGAATACTAACAGTAGATGTCATGTAGTGAGCCTTCATGTAGAATCTTAAGAAGAGTAAACATGGTCTTCTGGAAAGGAAAATAAACGTTTTTTTGTGCAAGAGCATTTGTCATTGCTACTCTTACCTTGGCTTCTAAACTAGAGACCCAACCACAAACAATTTGGAGGGGATGTATGGATTTTATTTCTAGAACGCATATTTTATTATTATTATTTTTTATCTTGGTCAAATTTGTTTGGTTGGTCGATGTTATCTTCCAAAAATGAAAATAATGATTTCCTTGTGAAAGTATGCGTTTTCTGCTCTTGCCTCAATATATCAAGTGACTGAACCACATGCAATATCAGAGGGAATACCTTAATTTCAATTAAGGAATGCATATTTTATTTCTGATTTTAGTCAAGTTTGTTCAGGATGGACTTTCAATAAAAGTAGTTTTATAAAGGAATGAAAATTGTCATGAATGTGCAGATGGACTACATAAACACCTCGCACCCAAATTTTATTGGAGGAAGTAAGGCTGTGGAGAATGCCCTGCAGCAGGTCAAGTCTTCTAGGGTTCCTTTGACTGTTTCGAGGCAGAAGGTTTTTATATATTTATTCCTTAATAATAATCTACACAAACTGTCACTATTAGAATAACATGTTTCTTAATCACTTACTTCAGTGTTCAGTGGTCTGTCTTTATGTTTATTCATTATTGTTGTTGATTAGGATGGTGTAGTTGAACCTGATAAAGCACCACCATCAGAGAAAACTTCAAAATCTCGAGCTATACTTGCCAGGCATTCAAATGGTTTTGTGACTGATAAGGTGAAGAACGTTTCTACTTCCTTTGCTTATTTTCAGGCACATGAATTGAGAATAATTCACCCAGATAACATAGACTGATTCTTAAGTTTTTAACCCTTCTTTCATGGTTGTATGTTATGACTTCAATAGAATGATGTCTAAAATTTAAAATTGCTGCACTTGTCATATTGATGTTTTTGTAACTTAGTTTTTACTTTCTGGATCATTAACAGGGTGCTCGACCCTCAGCTGATGGTGAAAAAGCTGCACTCTCTGGTATGTTATTGTTTTGAGAAATCTAAAGTGAAATAATCACTACATTATGTTTGTGACCTGTGTTTATTCCATTATATTTCGCATGATACCAAATTTTAGTGCTAATGATTGAACATAAAGCATCATGTATTATACTCTTTGAATGTGTAAATGTAAACAAAGTCAAACACGCATTTTGGGAGGTGATTGGGATGAAAATCTCTCCAGGACTCCAGACCTACTTAGGGCTAGGTTTTCCAGCGCGAAAGCTGATAATTTTAATCAGCTTAACTGTTTAGGGAATTAGGAACTGTTAATCTTCATGGAATTTAGTAGGCAAGATCTTGTTAAGTAGCTTCGGACGTTCCATAGAAATTTAATACATCCACTGTAGAACAACCAATGAGCATAAATTGCAAGGTTTTAGAAGAGTCATGCCTAAATTTTTGTTAATTAGTTGAAAAGGAAAATGGTGCTTAGTTGAAATCTATGGATGTGAAAAGCATTACAATGAAACGATCGATCTGAATTATCTATAACTAATTTGCAGTTGAGCATAAATTAAATATGATTCCGGACTAACTTCATACTAAGCTTGTGGGTTGATTAATCATTTAGATGTGGAATGAAATTAATTGAATAAAATAAAATTGACACAAGTTATGGCACCTAGGATCGTTACTATTTCTTCAATTGATAAAGAGTGGTAATACAGACATCCTACATTTACCTCATTGAAATTATGGTCCACCAAGCAAACTTTTCCCATATGCATTTAGTTTTTCTTAGTTTGAATCCTACCTGAGCGTTAGTTTCTTAGAACTCAAGGACACTGTGGTACAACCTATAGAACAGATCATGTTCAAGTAAGGGCGTATGCCTTAGTTTCTAACTTTCTCAAACTAAGCCTTTGCCTCATTATGAAACTGATCCTAATCCAAGCTTACAACTTTCAGTTGACGATTTTTCAGGAGCACCTGTAAGTAGTTCAAGTTGGGGGATTTCATCTATTTTTGGTGGGAGTGATAACCGTACACCTGCCAGAGAGAGTTCAGCGAGCAAGCCATATCCTGAACCTGTTCTTAACACAGAGCAGGCCTTCTCCATGATCCGTCTGAGAGAAGTAATGTCTTGGTTCGTAATTGATGTCAGTCAATGTGTTTTAATAGTTTGATCTAAATAATGTGTTTGATGTTGTTAAAGCCTCCAACTGTACTGAGACCGTCAGAAGGCTATTCAGACCAGGAGGTGATTGAAATTGCAGTCATAAAACTGCTCTTGAGATCATATTATGACATTGTCCGGAAGAATATAGAGGATTCTGTTCCTAAAGCAATTATGCATTTCCTGGTAATGTAGAGCTTCCGCAACAATTATGATTCTATACTAAAGTAATTTACATGAAGCTTTTACTGTTGGAGGTTGATCATGATAGCTATTGATTTAGATGACTTCGTTTTGTGAAACGATCTATAATTTTGACAGTGGACACATAGTCTATTTAGCAGAAAACTTTGTCGTTAGTCTATAATTTTCCATAATCCACCCTTTAATTCATGAAATTTTGTGCTACTAAATGGTGTATGGTTCGGCTGTACAACCAAGACTTGGTTCTGATTAAAACCATCATGGATTGCATCTTACTATAACTCCATGTTGATTTTATGTTCTGGCTATCCGTATTGTGCTACTGCTATCTACTTGAATAATCTTTCACTCCATCTTTAGATTGATATGTGGGCACGCAATCATTCCTTTTGTTGCAAGAATAATATGTATTGATTATTATGTTTACGAGTAAAGAAAACTACAATTACTATTGATGAAGTTTAAGAAATAATCTTAAGTATCAACCTCCAGTGAAGCTTGTATGCATATTTTTCGGATGCTCTTAAAGGGCTTCTACAAAATATTGAAAAGCTCCTAAAAATTTTGTAAAATTTTATGGCTTCTTGCTTATGATTTATCTGAATCCAGGTTCTCCATACTAAACGGGAGCTGCATAATGTCTTCATAAAAAAACTTTATAGGTAACGAAGATTTGAAATTATTCTTTTGTCGGTATGTGAGATGCACACCATTCAATATTGTGGTTTTCATCTACACTAATCGTTCTATGCTTTGATTTCAATGTTGGAAAATAGAGAGAACCTGTTTGAAGAGATGTTGCAGGAGCCTGATGAGGTGGCAATGAAGAGGAAGCGCACACGAGACACTCTCCGAGTTCTACAGCAAGCTTTTCGGGTATGTATTTTTTTTCTGGCACTCCACAACCATTTACAAATGGTGGTGGACTGGTGAAGCATATATATTTGACCGCGCACGTTAACTTTTGTATATACTTCTCAAAGTGTCGGGTGCATAGCTTTGAAAGCTGAAATAAATACTTCCTTCACTTGTGTTCTTTTTGTAGACATTGGACGAATTACCTTTGGAAGCAGATTCAGTTGAAAGAGGTTATAACATGGGTGCTGATCCAACGGGGTTACCGAGGATGCACGGAATGCCAACATCATCTATGTATACTACCAGCAGTTCAAATGATTCATTTTCCCCGTCCCCAAAGAACCCAAAGCACCGAAAATCATCATACTCAGGGGAGCTTCAGTCACCACTATATGGTAATCCAGATTCTAACGGAAATGGTCGATCATTCATGCCTAGCCTCTACCCAAAACTTGACTTTTAACGGATTTTCGATGTGCATAGCCAGTTCAAAATGATTCTTTGGGTTTCATGTCCAACTAGTGTAGCTAATGGAATTCCTTTGTCCCCGACGCGGATGGGGCATCCCTCGAGAAGGTGCTAGTTATTCTTCTTCCAGCAATTCTTTTGAAGCCAACCAATTATTTTCTTCGAAGTGAAAAATTAAATTCCTTGCCCCCCTCTTGTGCCCAATATTATAGTTAAAGTACCGAGCTCCGAGAAAAGAAGAAAAAGGAGAAAGAAAAATAATGGTGAGCAGTCAGCAGATGAACGAACTCTCCTCTCCTATTGGTCTGTTTGCTAAAAAGTAGCCAGTTTTGGTTTAAACATACATATACATGGCTAGTCCTTGAGATTTTACAGGAGACTTTCGTATTGAAATGGCAGGTGCTATCTTGTTTAGTATATAGCCTTCTCTGCACCCAAATGCGTTTCTCTATATCAATCGGTTATATATATTCAGAATTGAGATTGAATGTTTGTAGTCTGTTGATGTCATGTATATTGAGCCTGTTTTCCACTTAATTCCAAATATTCTGACCTTAATTCTAGCAGAGTGATAATCTGTATGGTCACATCCAGGTGAAGATTTTCAATTTTATGATAAAAGTCTTGACTTGATGGTTAATACTTTTTTTGGTACCCTTATTATTAACTTTGGTTTGTTTTGGTTTATTTTAGTTGATCATACTTTTAAGTTTTGTTTACTTTAGTTTATGTATTTTCGAAAGGTTTGTTTTGGTTCTTGTAGTTTTTCAAAGGATCGTTTTTTATATTTATTTTTATTTTTATCGCATTTGTTTCAATTAAAATTTCATCTCGATACCTTGAATTTGTATTAAGATTTTTATTGGGTAGAAAATTTCTGTTAAAATTTTTTGAATAGGGATTGAATAATCATTTTTTAAAGTACATGTCAAAGTAAACGTTTTGTAAGTAAGTATAGGGTTAAGATAATCTTTAGTCTAATGGAGGAATCACGGTGACTTATGGCACGTGTACCATGCCTGCTTTCTAGTTGGGCCAATGTATTTATTTGGCAAATTTATCTTGAATTTGATAACCATAGCTACCAAACCAACATTACCACAAAAATTCAGTACATCCCAATAAAACAATTCTCTGTTCTTTGTTATGCCTATGCCTTCAGAATCTAAAAATCGACAAACAATGCCTATAGTTGTATTCTTAGCATTGACATTTTTCTAGTTGTTACCTTTTTCCCAATATTCAAAAGATTTCGATTTTATTATAAGTTCTTCACCTTTGTATGTCATGACCTGCCATTTTAATGAGATTTTCGATTGGAAGAAATCTCATTGCATCAAGAACAATCTTCTTTATGTATTAGATTTAGAATGTGAGTCAACTTGAGAACAACTTTGAGAAACATGTTATCAAATGAAATTCGTGATATCCAATACTGATCATAGAACATAGAAATTCATGAAGCATACACTCTTTTTCATATTACATATCGATGGTTCAAGCTTTCGCAGCTGCAGTGGTTGCAGCTTCTGCAGCTGGAGCGGCTTTGAGAATGATCTCAACATTATCATGAACTCCTTGCAGCAGCAGCTCACCATCATAAGTCACGATTTTTCTCTTCTTTGCTGCTCTTAGCGTCCCGACCAACGCCTCGAATATGTTAGCACATCTGTCATCATTGAACAGCACCCCAAATGTCACCTGCAAATTGAAAATCGAGTTCATATGATTGAGAAGAGTTACAGATGCAAATTTGATTCTTGTCATGTTCATGAGTTCCATCCATGTAAAGAGAAACAAGTCAGAACCTGTACTATGGATGTCTAAGCACTGCTAGCAGATTCATGTAGTTAAAAATATATGATTCGAACAAGAAATGAATGATCACAAAGGAGTTCGCTCCATCTCTGCTCCTCGCTGTCTCGGCTTTGCTACCAGAGGCTCCAGAGAAGTTTGGATCGGGAGCACTCATGAAAGGAAATAAAAGCTACATTATGACCATTGATTACTATCCCCATCAGTTTTCTCTACCAGAGGAAAGTAAGGTTCCTGTGGCTGTGACCACCTTCTCTAATTCTGATTTCTGACCCAATTTTATCCAATTAGCTAAGTTATCATACTACAGATCAGCATATTATCTAAATCACAAGATTGGGTTTCAATCTCTTTATCCAATGAAGAGAGGATCAGATTCAGATTAGAGACATCCAAAGAACAGAGACTTTGGATTGCAAATGGGATTGAATGTGCAATGTTATAACACAACAGGTCGGTTCTAGATGAATCTAGTAAGACAATACAATTGAATCGTTTCTATTTTAGTTCAGATTTTTGGCTAAATCCATTCAGGCAAAACATCAAACAGGTAGTAGGCAGGCAGATCTCCTTCAAAATCGACACGAGAGGACAAAAGAACCCAATTTCTAATTCTAGATCCAACTCAGAAACACCATATTTTGAAGCCTAATTCGTAAATTTCTGAATCTGGGAAAGATTGAAATCGGGCAAGAGTTGACCAGAAGATTCGAAAAGAAGAGAGATTTGTTAATTAATGTAAGATTTGTAGGTACCTTGTAAGAACCATCATCTTGGATCTTGCCGAGCCTTTGAATTTCCTCCTTGAGTCGCTCAACTTCCTCATCTACATTCATGGCTTCAGATCTTCCACTATCGTTCGTTTCCACTAACAACAATTCATGACTTCAGAGAAAATAAAAAGCAGAAAAAGGGAACGGAGAGAAGAGGGACCCCTGGAAGGCTAGCCTGGATAATAAGAAAATCCTCGTAGACATCACCATTAGTTTCTTTTTTTACGTATTAGTTAATTTTAATGGTTGAACTATTTTAAACGTCATCTTAATTTAGACAAAATAAGAAAGCTTCCTCCCACCCGCTAAAAAGTTGAGTCTGATCCTTACCTCTATATGTTATATTCGAACAAAAAAAAACTTTTTGTCCCCATTTCATTCTCCATTTCTATGCAATTTTACACGAAATTTTGTAGAAACAAGGAAACATATGGAAAATTTTCAAATTTATTTTTTATTTTCAAAATTATTTTTCAATTAAATATTTTTTTATAAAATTATTTAATTTTCAATGACAAAACATAATCCAATCATCATCTATATATTGGATGGATAGAGAAGAATAAGATTATTTTTAGTATAGGATAAAGAGAATAATATAATCTCTTTAGGATGTATATATAAATAAAGTGAGGCCAGACCGGAAATGGGGATTGAGGAAAAAACTTTTCCATTCCCATCCCAAATTTAAACGACAAATCTCCAATCCCTTCCTTACACCCATGAGCTTCTTGTCCATTCTTATCCACAACTAAGACTATTATTTTGTCTTCTCTTGTCTTGTAGCACAACACAATGCTTATAATTTAACAAAATATTATTTTTCAAAAGTATTGTGTGATTCACATGGATGATAATATTAATATTATTAAAAATAACATTTTTCCACCCAAGTTCAACGGGTTAAATCAATCACACTCATAATTTCTTTAAATTTGATAATATCTTTTTTAAGTATATAAAATTTAGGATGTATTTAGAAATGTAAAACTCACTTTTATTTCTTTAAAAAATTGATGAGAAGAAAATATAAAATCACTTAAAATTGATTTTTAAGATATGAGAATGATGATAATCTCATCTTTCTATCACAATTTTAATGTGTCGCTATATCTACTATATTTTTGGAAAGGCAACCATGACTATATATTAAAGCATTCTCAATATATATATATTTTGTGTTTAGATCTTACAAATAATGATCAAAATAATCCCTTTTTAAAACTACAGAAATGAAAACGTTAAAATATATAATTTTAAGGGTAGAATTTACGAAATCATTTTGATATTGGAAAATATCGAACGACACGTGGCGAAAAAGACGCGAAACTTTGGAGAACTGAAAACAACTTAATAGACCAGAGAGTGTGAAAGCTTCATCGGTTCATACCCAATCGGTAAGCGGAGGAACAGAACGGAACACAGAGAGAGATTGGAGCCGAACGCACGAAAGGGAATTTTCTTGGCGGTGAAGAAATCGAGAAGATGCCCAAAGATGGAGAGGAAGAAGTCGCCGGAATAACGCCGGTGCCGGCAGCGTCGTCGTCGTCGTCGTCGTCTTCTCACACCACCCGACATGGAAGGAGGGTTGATCCTCTGCTGGTTACTTGCAGGTTTTTCAGTGTTTTAACTGCTCTAACTGCCATTCTCTGTATCGTTGTCAATGTTATCTCTGCCGTTCGATCTTTCAAGGACAAAGCCGACGTATCCCCTTTCTCTCTGTTTTGCTTCTTTATTAAGTAATCTTTTAAATTCATCACTGTGTCATGTGGTTGTGTGAATTTTGGCAGATTTTCGATGGTATATTTCGGTGTTATGCGGTTTTGATTGCATCCTTCGTGGTTCTTGCTGAGACGGAATGGGAATTTATTATCAAGTTCTGGAAGGTTGTTGCGCTTGAACCCTAAATTCTCAAGTTCTGAACCGATTTTTCTGCTGCCTCTGTTGTCTACTATTTCTTTTTGCAGCTTCCGGTACCATAACTTTATGATTGTTTTACGTCTTGTGTGTATTGATTTGTTCTAAATGGGCCCGATTATCGGAGTGCGAAAGCTAGTCTTAGTAGTTTGCCTTGGAATGTGATTGTTCAAAATAGCTCCTAATAATTCGATGGTTAGGCGTTGCTAGGCAATAGTTAATGAGTGAAATCCGTCCTCCTCCCTCCATACAGTTTTACATCTCTATGAGAAAACTGGTGTTTGTTTGTTTGTTTGTTGCTGGGGTGGTATCTAAATGGGGTCGTTAGTTTATATTAGTTCGGTCCATTTAGAGTCATTGAAGTAACATTCTTCAAGGAGGGGACTTTTTGTATTAAAAAAGAGAAATTTATGATGCCCATTGTATATTAAATTTGTTGGTTAGCATTCATTTACTCCCATCAACAAAAGATAAGCATTTCTTTTTGACATACAAATTCCTACTGAAGGATTTATTTATTTGATGCTTATATCTTGGTAGTAAATGTTCCAAGCTCTTTCATTCTGTGGGATGTCACTAAGACTGCTATGTAGTATTAAGCATTGCTTTTTGACATAGAAATTCCTACTGAAGGATTAATAAAGTGGATGCATATAATCATTCTTAGCAAACAATTCCCTGCCTAAATTTTCTGGGATGTCTCTAGAACTGCCATGAAGTAGTTCTCCATATTTCTTGAAGCTCAAAGAGGTGTATGATGTCTTATTCCTTTCTAGTATTTCTTAAAATATTTTTCCTTCGAAACTTGCTCGCTGCATCATTTAAATGAGTTGGGACTATGCATTGCAGGTATTGGAATATTGGGCTGGCCGGGGCATGTTGCAAATCTTGTAAGATCTTAGTTTTAGTAGGCATTTGCTACCTTTACCATTTTTTTTTTCTCTTCAGACTTTGTTCATGGGTACCGTGTGTCTCAATCTGAAAATATTTCTTATTAATAAGCTCCATACACCCAGTCAATTTTGTAACTGAATTATCGATTTCTAGGAGAAGCATACATTGAAAAAAAAAATTTCATGCAACATCAGGTGTTGGTGCCTTCTTGTTAAATTAAATGGTCTGATGGTCTGTTGTAAGGACGTTAGTCTGTAGCTCGTTTGAAGTTATTACAATCGGAAATTTTGCTGTGCAGTAGAGATATGTACTTACGATGATTATACATATCGAAAAGTCTCATATTGGTCAACTAGATTTGACTTGAGAGTTGAGATCCAATAAATGCATGGATTTCTCATATCGTATTCATAGATATTCATTTTTCGTAAGTTGCAATTGTTTTTGTGCAGTGTTGCAGTCATGACAAGAGCTTTCCCTGCGTATTCTGAAGACCAAAGGGAGCTTATTATTCTTCAAGACGTTGCAAGTTATCTGCTCCTCGGTTGTGGTGCAGTCTATGTTGCATCGGTGAGCCTTGTGATTACACCTCTTTTCTTATTTTAATCTTGAGACTTGGGAGAGAGGTTTCATATGTTTCACTTTCTGTTCCTTGCTTGTTGCATCATCCGTGTTGTTTTGGTAACCCGTTGTTAAAATATACTGTTTATGCTTGGATGGAGACATACACATAATTTCCCTTTTTTTGTTTTTAATATGCAAGCTCCTCTGCTCATGTCATATATATATTTTTTCTGTTTGAACTAGTAGCAAGAGAACACAACTTTTACAATTGTGTCTCTCTTAGTTTCAATTCTTAGTTTGAATTCAACAATTGGTACAACTTGCTCATGCACTTGCCACAAGCAAGTAAGCCAAATCAAAATTGCATAGCCAGTGGTGCAACTGAGTCTTTCACGAAACTTTGTCCATATTTGCTTGAGAACTGTATTTTAAATAATACTTGATTGGACAATAACATTAAATACGTCAAGAAACATAGAGAGAGTGAATGTGCTGTTGGCAACTAAGTCTAGGGACTAGAAAGAAATTTTACAGCTGAAAGTTTACAATACTTCCTAGGGTTGCTTATCCGGTACGTCTTTTGAGGTTCATGATATGGGTTTTCATTTATTTAATTCTTGTAGTCTTGTCTCAAAATCTTGACATCCATGATACTTTTTGTACTTGTGCCTTACTTTATCTTTGGTATGTCTTAGAACAGTTATGGGAAGTGCTGGTTGGTTCATTAAATTATCATCCCTATGAAAGTACGCATATGCAGTGTATAAAATTAGTGATTACATGCTTGTTTGCATGATTAAACTGAACGGGGAGTAATTGTTACATATTCTCTTTGAAATATTCTGACAATCAATTGATTCTGGTTTCTCCTACAAATTTCAAGGGAATACTATGCCTTGGGTTTCTCAAACGTGCTCGTGAAGAGAAAGAGACTGCAAAGGAGAGGACTGTCAAAGATCTTCAGGTAGGCTTTTCTACTGGATAGTTCCATAACTCATTGGGGAATAGGGAGAGAAAATGATATTGTCTTGTTACCATTTTTTAACACTAAAGCTTATATATGCCATGTAATTATTAGGAAAGTATATTAACTTTTGCTGTTTCGGTTAGTGACTCATACTCCAATTTCGGTCTTGAGTATTGTGGGAACAGTAGTTGGTTATGAATAGACACATCGAGTAAGCTCAGCTGTGTAGTATACTTTTTCCCTTTTTCTTGGTTTACCATTGGCCATTGGGTATCAGTCATTCCAGAATAAGAGGATTTAATTTAAGTTATTGAAAATATAAATTTCAGCATATACATTTCAGGCATTATTTGATATAACCACCTTGTTTGTAGTTTCTGTTTTTGAAAATGAAGTTGGTTAGTGCTTTTTTTTTAATTTTTTTTTTAAATTTTGATTTTGATTTTGTATTTTACTGATAAAAACATTCTTGAAAGCTTAGCCAATTTTCAAAAACATATTTCCAAAAAAATATTCTTTTAGCTTTTAAAATTTGTGAGAATGTTCTTTAGGAGTAGATTACCCAAAACAAAAAATTATTAGTTCACAGTTAACTAATATAATTTTTGAAACTGAAAACTAAAATCCGCACTACGGTCCTTTGTCTTTTCTTATTGTTGTGCTTCACTCAATATATGGTTATCATAAACCTAGAAACGCTTAGTTTATTCTTTAAATATTTGTATGCATATAATTTGATCTTAAGGAAGCCATGGATTTGTTGCAGGAGTTAGAAAGACAAAAACAAGAACTTGAACGGCGGTTGCTCATTGCAGAAAGTGTTTGAAATAATTTTAAGACATCCCCATGCGACAGGGGATCATCACCTGTTTCTCATAGCTGAGATTGTACGAGCATTTTCGCTGCTTCCTTTTTTATTCTACTATAACTGCTCCCTTCTGGAGTTCTAATCATGTAAATTGTGGCTAACTTGACCATTTTCTCTGTATTCATCATGTAAATTCTGCGTCTGGACAATTTGTCTCACTATGTTAACAAGAGAGATCATTTATTGGGACAACAATTGATTCTCTTACGCTCTCTAAATTGAAGTTTTGACTTCAGTGCTGCTAGGATCAAGGATGCTACAAGAATTTTTGTGCTTCAAGATGCTACAAAAGCCAACAATCAGGCAAGCAGGTTCTTTTACTTTCTCTTGGAAGTCACATTTGAATTGTTAGTGGGTTTCCCTCTTCATCATGTGGATAATGATTTTTTAAAAATACTTTATAAGAAACTGAGATATTCCAATTAAGAGAAAGCCAAAAAGAAACAACCTAAGAGGGAGGAGAAGAAAAAAGGTCTCTAATATAGGTTGATGAAGAGAGAGGGAATAGTGCAAAAAGATTTGTGGGTAGCACTCCAAAATGAATCTGTATTCTGTACATGTTCACAAAAAGAATCTATAGAAGTGAACTTAGCTGAGAAAATTCTCGCATTGCTTTCTTTCCATTATTGCCTGCAAGCCTTTGTCCAAAGGATCTTGGCTTTGTCTTTGAGCTACCAACCGGAGAGCAATTGAAACGAACCACCTTCCACTAATCTTGTAGGGCACCAACCCCATTCAAAAATAAGACAAAATTCCAACCCTTTCTTGCAAATGGGCAATGAAGGGGAAAATTATTTGAGGATTCCTCATCTTTATTCTCCTCATCCGGATAAGGATTTCACAGTTAGGATTGTGACTTTTTGAGTGGTAGGATATTAATATAGGGTTAAATTACAAGTTTAACTCCTAACTTGAGTTAAACTTTCAGAGTTATGTCAATTGGTCCTAAACTCCGTCTTTAAACTTTCATTGTTGTATCTAGTAGCTTTCTAGTAGATCTTTGAGTGTTTGATCCATTAAACACAATTTTTTAAATGTTTAGAGATTAAAAACTTGTATATACTCTCTTTGTATCGTTCCTCTCTTGTTCGTACATACGTGCACAGAATCTCTGGTGATCCTGGAAGGATAATGGTAAAAGGAAGACGAAGATTTTGAGTTCATCAAACACCATGAGAGACTTAAGATTATGCTTCCCATCTCTTTGGGTTAGTGGGTGTGATTTTTGGCTATTGGTGAAAGTGGAGAGTGACTTGATTGAATGGGCCATGAAGGGAAGTGTGCTCTGCCCATCCACAGCTAAAATGGCTCATTTTGCTCAACCCAACTTCCCCACTAGATCCTCACGTCTTTTTAGAATCACAAACTTCAATGGCATGCGCACTTCATTAAAAGATGAGGAAAATTTTCAACCACGAGGGTGAGTCTCATGATCAAGTGATTCCTTTTTCATGATCCAAATGGAGGCTGTGCTCTCTTGATGAAGTAGGGTGAGTAGACTTTTTATAAAGTATTGGTGTTCATAAATAACAAGCACGGCATTGTTGATACAATACCTTTCTTATCATGCTGGTTCGACTCAATTCAACCCTTCATTAGATCTCTCGTATTTTTCTAGAATCACATTTCACTTAATAGAGCATGTCTGTTTAAGCTGAAAGATGTGGAAACTATCCAACAACGTGTGAGACGATTGATCAAGTCTTCACTAATATCGTATATTTATCTTCCTCATTATACACGAACAAGCTTGCTAAAAAATGAATAGAAGAATTCCCCCCACCAGAGAAACTTATGATTGAGTTATATACAATAGACTACCAAGTGAAAGGTACTTGATTCTTCATCCATACACAATTTGTTAACGAGAAAAGAAAAGAAAGCCCTTTGTTTAGAGGACAACTAAAACTCCCATTGGGAGTATTCTCTCATCTCTTAATCAATTGATGTGCAGAAACAATATACATTATACACTTATATAACTCTCTGATTCAATGAATTGGTACCTAATTAAGTACATGGCAGGGCTTTGCCTTAGTGATTATGCCTGGTTTTTCACACTTTTCTCTATGCAAATAGGAGTGCTTTGGCAGTCCACTGATTAGTACATCTCCATTAGGGAAGGCTGAATTAAGCATCGCCAAGTCGCTGAAAGGAAGAAGAGATCCAATACTTCGTGCCTTCAAAGACTGCATTTATAGACACATACATATATTGTCATTCTTTTTTGTAACCATAATATTATAGTGAAGATCCTTTTCTAACTTTTGAAAGCTTAAATGAGTTGTTTGAGAGGTGAATTGAAGTATTTTTTACTTTGTTCTACAAGAAATATTTATGAAGTCATGACTCGTGAGATTGTGTAATATGTATTTAGACTATATTGTAAAAGTGAACTATAGTAACATGGCGTTTGTGTAACATGTTTGGTTGGTGAGTTTATAATCGGTAAAAGTAAGTAATATGAAAGGGAGGTTCGTCACGAACAAGAGTTTGCACTGTTCATGAAGTTAGCGAACTAATAAATTAAATCTACGATAAATTGACCTACAAACTTAACAAAGATCCATCCTTTTAACTCAAATTATAGAAATCTAACTCGTGTGTCAAATTCTAATACGAGTATAGCTCAACAGTAATCACATCTGTTCAAATCTACCACATTTGTTTAAATTAAAGACATTCTTTAATTTAAATGCACAAAGAACCCAACAAATTTTCTTCTACTATACACACATACTGGACCAAAATCTGAGACAGAACATCCTCAAAAATAGGATACAACAAAAGGAAGTAAAACCTTTTTGGATGAAAAAACACAAATTTTCTTTAAGTTGTAAACACTAAAAAGTATAAAAAAGTCAGTGTGAGTAAGAAAATTACTAACCCCAATTCAAGAGAAATATCAGAGCTGTCATAATGTTGAGAATTAGGGTTTGCTGAGGAGCTGCTATTGCTGGTATTTGATCCCAAGGAATTATTATGTCCTCCAATCACTGCTTGTTCTTGCTCTCCATTCAAATTTGCCATCTGCCATTAAAGCAAGTTTTAGCCATTAATTCCTTTTTGCCCTTAGTTTTTCAATTGTATTTACAAAGAGAGGAACAATTGAGGAAGCTCTCACCTGATTCCTTAATCTCTGGTTCTCTTTCATAAGCAAAGCTTCCTGCAAATATTTACATATTCTTGTGTGAATTGGGTTTGGTTTTTTACCAAATTAAAAATAAAGGGTATCTCATGAATCTGCAAAATATGTTGCCTAAGTTGAATGATCACATGAAATTTCTTTAGAGGTAATGTTTGGGTTTTAAACAAAATGTAAATCAACCCCTCAATTTGACTAAATTTTGCTCTTTCTACCCACTTGTATTTTTTCTTTTGGAAGGGACTAGTGTTTTGTTTTTAGGAATGTTTCTATACCGAAATGAGTTTGAACTTATTCCTACGGTTCACGACCCGTTTTGGTATAAGAGCTATTTCAAGAACACAATCGATAGCGCAAAATACTTTACCTCCTAGAAATTGAACAGGAATTATAACCGAACCTATAACTTTGTATCGACTAAGTTCACGAGTTGGAAATATGCAGATGGGCAGGTAATACCACTTAAAAGCAGGTGAAATCAGCTATATTATCATCATTCCCTAAAATTTGTGAAACTAGAAAGATTTAGGAGGATATAGGGACAAAAAGCATATATGACCTTCTCCTTGATAGCACCAATCTCTTTAAGAAACTTCTCATCCTGCAAAATAACACACACACAAAATCTCCAAACTAAGACATTTCAAGGACAAGAAATTAATGATCATATGCTTATAAATTACAATAAATATATATATATATATATATATATATATATATCTTAGCATTTATTGCACAAACCTTGGTCTCTACAACACGACTCAAACCAATCTCAAGCAATTTCTCCAGCTGCTTTAATTCTTCTATTCCCAATCCTTGAAGCTCCTCTCCCCTCATATGCCTTGTTCATAGTTTAACACAAATGAGTATTAATTATTGTCCAAAACTTAATTTCCAATTCATGTCAAAGCCCTTTTGGTTGAAATGTGTCGTATTAAAGTTTAATTTGGTCCCTAAACCTACAACCCGAGTTAATTACATTCGGGGATCGGAGCATTTAAATATGAATGAGTTTAAAAAACGCCTGTCAACAATTGAATTGATCTATTTCTAATTAATCTTCCCTATCAATCTCTACGACTCTTATTGTTTCTTTCATCCCATTAATCTTGAAAAGGATTTACCTTTACCCAAATGGACTTCGATTATGAAATATTTATTTTGGTTTTTGAACTTTTTATTGGAAGCTTATGCGTTATAGGGACTTCGATTTGAATCTCGTTATATATATACGAAGACAGGAGATAGAATAAACTTCGTGTATCAGTTCTATAAAGATAACCGAAAAAAGATGTCATTTGCAAGTTCACAAACATATAGGGATATGTTATACAAAAGTAACTAGGCAATAAAACAAGCTCCAATTCATAATTATTCCTATACTTTTATAATATGATTTTAGCAGTTGATCATAATGGTGAGAAATGTTACCTAAGTTCATTGGTCTTGGTTGCAAATTCCTCAGCCAATTCGGCATGGACACTGTTTCCAAGCTGTGCAAAGAAACCCTAAAATAATTAAGCAAAGAGCTACAACTGTGTCCTCGCTTCTTTTTTTAGAGTGCAACATGTGGGAATGGGAAATTGAACTCACAACCTATTAGTTGGATATTTATGCATGTCAATTACCGCTGAGCTATACTCGCTTTGGTAGCTACAAGTATATCTTGGTGGAGAGGGTGATTTTAACAAACATTATAAGGGCCGAGCTTTGTCAAAATTGTGTGTTTTTCACCACAAGAAAGTGTCTTAAAACGGGTAATGTGAAAGATAATCAAGTTTAATTAAGCTATAGCCTTGCAAGAAAAGAAAAAAAAAAGGGAGAATCACATCGTCCTAGAACGACACCTAATTATAATATAAAAAACCTTAGAAATCAACACCGATAGAGATATTAAATCTAAACAAGCTCTCCAATTTCCTTCCAAGATCTCTCACTCCTAAAAATATTTACTATTCCTCTCGATCCAAATACCTCACAAAATAGCAAAACTAAAACCAAAACAAGCCTACCTTAACACGATCCCTCTATCTCGAAAACGGGAAACAACACCTTCTCTCTATCATCGCCTTACCCTCCTATTACGAACCAAGAAAACCCCAAGACCTCCAGGAATCGACTCGAAATAAACTGGACAAACTAACAACTCCGCCGAAAATGAGCAAGTTCCTGAATCAAAGCACTTTTTGTAATTACCAGTTTTGTGAAATTGCAAACGATCAATTTAACTTACCGAGGATCAACTCTGTGAAGCTATAGTAAATCAAGAACAAGTTCAAATAATTCAAAATCATCCTCGTACTTGGCTATTTGAACTCAAAATAGTCTATGTATTTTTACAGTTAAAATATTGTTGTGATCGCGGACATGAGTTTAGTTCATCGATTAAGACACCTAACTCTTTCTTTCGAGGTCGTAGGTTCGATCCCTCATTTCCCATGATTGTTGTAGTAAAAATAAAATAAAAAATTGTTGTGATCCCTAAAATTCAAAGAGTTGTAAACAGAGACCATAAAATAAAACTTCTAAAACTTTAATTTAGGTAGGGGCTAAAACAATATTTCAAGCTAATTTCGATCGCATGATCAAAAGAGAGAGAGAGTTATTTGGGGAAAACAAAAAAGGAAAAAGAAAAAGAAAAAAAGTAATGAATAAAGTGAATCTTCACCTGAGATGATGCAACTGCAACTGGTTGGGTAAAGTTATTATTCTCTGGTACCATGTTTTGTCTTCTCAGTAACTCCTGCGTGCTTCATGCAAATTAAGAAGAAAAAAAACATGTCTCTCAGTTCCTCTATATATATATATATATTCTTTGGATGAAAACCGAGCTATCATTAAGAAGAATGAAAGAATATAAAAGGACATACGACGTAAAATAACCCAACAAAAAGAAACTAAATTAAAATAATGGGCTCCGATCCAATCTAGCAAGATTAAACGACCTAAGAAGTGAATACAAAGAAGGGAAACATGAAACCGAGCAAGAGCCCACCCCTCCTGCCACGATCGTCTCTCAATTCCAGCCCTCTAAAGATTCTGTTATTTCTCGCTTAGTCCCATAAACCCCATAGAACAGCAGCCTCTAACACTAGAATTTTGAAAACAAGATTATTGCTCAAGTTTGGGCAAAAAAGGTGAGAATCCTATACGTCCCAGTCCCAGCATAGTTAAGTGGATAAAACATTTATTGCTATCTCTAAGATCGATGGTCCGACCCCAACCGAAAAAACAATATATAAATATTCACAAATATTTAATACACATTACCTTCACGTGTAAATATGCAACAATTACGTCAATATGTGTTAGTTTTACCATAAAAATCAATAAATGGAACCACACTTCCATAATTATATGATATACATGTAGCATATATATACTTTCTTCATTATTTTCATGACATTTAACTAAATTCAATTTATATGTATTTTATTAATTGCAATTCGTCCAATCCTATAATATGTGTCAATTCAAACACATCTAAAATTACAGTTTGTAGTGAAAGAAGAATAATAATTAATATAACAACAATTAGGGGATAAAAATTAATAAGCTAAATGTTCAAAATCCAAGGAGGCATTGGAAATTTTTTTAAAACCAACAACATAATGATGCAAGTGAGCTATACAATCTATTGGGGTATGTGTGATTGTGTATAATATAATGTTCGTGAATGTATATAATATACATTGTTTACACAGAAAAAGGTACAAAAACACTGCAAAAATGAGAAGGAAATAATAATAATAATAATAATAATATAATATCACTAGGCATATAATAAACGTTTTATCGTAAGAAAAATAATAATAAATCAATTGGCATGTCTAGGTTTTTGTAAATCAGAAGGTTAATTAGACATCAAAATTAATGTAAATCGATATTTTCTATATATCATAAAAATATCGATGAAACACAAAAAAATACTAATAATAAAATGTATAGTTTCTTTTAAAAGTGTAATATAGATGATATTAACATATTATATATATATAAAAAAGGGAAAAGCAATCCCCTAAAAATCCAACAGTTAAAGAAAAGATTTCACAATATTACAGAAGTCTTTAGAAAAGTTTTACCAAGATCTCAAAAGCCCTAAAAAAGGGCTTCTACAAAATTGATATTTTTATCCACATTTCTACCAAAAAAAATAATAATAATAATAGTAGATGGATCAAATAAATAAATCAAAAAAAAAAAAAACCAAGACCCCAAAATTTCTATGGATATTGAAATTTAATCCTTAAATGCAGGATAATAATGATGCAAAATTTGAACATGGTAATTTGAAATTAGACATCAATATAATAAAATGCAAGCATAGGCATCAATCAACATCACATAATTAAAGAGAGATTCTTGCAACAACAAAGTTTGATATTTTATGGAGTTGTGAGGTGTAGATCAATAATCACTTTTGATGTCATAGTTAGCAGATAATTTCAAAATAAACCAAATTAAAGCTCTTCACATCTATAAAATTACCAATAATTTAAACATTCCCACTTGATAATCATAATATTTACAATACCAAAGTAGCCAGAAGCTCACACTCTTAATTAAAACAATTAAAGATCATGAACAATAATCTACAAAATGCTCCATTTCCATCAAAAATCTAAAAAAAAATCCAATCTTTTTAAGACCCTTTTTTTCCTCTCAGAAGATAAAAAAAACCCAACAAAAAAACATATCTAAATATGGAAAGTAGAGCTCAAAATGAGTAATATTTCTAGAGAGAGAAAAAAGAAGAAAAAAACCTTGAGGTTGAGTAGTCAAAAAGCTTTCCAGAAGCAGAAAAAACAATGAGAGCAATATCAGCATCACAGAGAGTTGCAAGTTCATGAGCCTTTTTGAATAGCCCTCTTCTTCTCTTTGAAAACGTCACTTGCCTTGCAGCAATATTGTCTATCTTCTTTATCTCTATTTTCTGCCGAGTCATTTTTCTTTCTTTTTTTCCCCCTAAAATCATAAACCAGAAAACAAAAAGACTATAATAACCCTGTTGGCTATGCTGGATCTAGATTTTTCAAGGGAAAATAAGATAGGGGTACCCATGGAACAAACCCTAATTGGTAATAGGGGTGAAGAAGAAGAAGAAGAAGAAGAAGAAGAAGAAGAAGAAGAAATTGAGAGTAATTTTAAGGAACTTGAGAGAGAAATTAATTACCGCTTGTGTGTGGTTCTTTCTATGTTGTTGTTTGGTTCTCGATTTTCTGTAAGAATCCGACAGNAAAGAAGAAGTTGAAGAGAGAGAGAGAAAAAAAAAAGGTGTTTCCTTTTCTGGACAATGGGTTTGGTTTGGGCAAAATTTCTCAAACATGTGATGTACCTAAAAGAGAAAAAAAGAGAAAAATAAAAAGAAAAGGGAATCTAATGTGGAAATAATGGGCCACATCACACTCACAACTCACAAGTTTTGGCTTTCGATTATTAATTTATCTCCAACTCTTTCATTTTATTGGGTTAATTTTTAAAACTGATTATTTTAGTCCCTCTTTATAAAAATGAGATTAAAAATAATATTAAGTGACCGAAAAAGTCACTTAGTAGAAGCACGAGACTAAAACGAACATTTTCGAACTAAAAAATTAAAATGAACCAAAACTAAAAAACGAGAACTAAATAATATTAAGTTTAAATGTATAGTTTTATTATGTGTTGGTACAAATGAGCCATATTAGTGAGAGACTTGTCACTGACAATAATTTATGACAACTTCGTACCCTCGTACCCATCGCATCTTGCAGCTAAATTTGAGTGGTTCTTTTGTTCTTGGAATACTAACTCTGTTTTTAATCCTCCAAAGCTTTTATTTTTATTATTATTTTTTCCATTGGGTGGGGTGGGAACAATTAATTTATGGGTTTTGTGGAAGACTTGTAGTTCTTGAGTAATTTTGTGAAGGCTAAAAAGTTATTGTTGCATTTTGTAATCCTAATAATCAAATAGGTCCGATTTAAGTTCAAGAAAAAATTCGGTTTAGTAAAGATGATATACCGATTAAATTCTCGTTTTTGTGTGCCAAAAGATCTTAACGTGCATGTTTACAGTAACTAGAGGGTTACATTTTCTTTTCGCTCCTATTTTAGAGCCTTTTCCATGTCGCTTCGAGATTCATGTTTTAAATATTTACGTGTTTTCTTTTCCTTCGTTGATAATACACTAGAATGAGTTAGATGACGACAAAGTGTTAATGAAATTTCTATATCATATTGGAATATAAAAAATGTGCCTATTCACAAATCAAGGAAGAATAATTTTGATTTTTTTTTTTCACATTCGACCGTTCGCACAGTGGTAAGAGGCTTGGGTGTTATCGAAGGTCCAAGTTTGAACCTTCCTATATCTGAAAGTAAAAAAAAATAATTGTAACTTTTTTGAGATTGGTTTATTTTTTCCGCAAGGAAACCCTCCAACAATAACAAAACCTTAATACAGTTTGGACATTTTAATTCATTTTATTTAAGTTATATACTTTGAACGCCAACATTATACACACAATAATGATATTCTTTAATAAATGAAGTATGTTTGCCAGACTTAGCTTAGGTGCTTGGATATATTTTTAGAAAATTGTTGAATAAATCAACTTTTTCTTTTTTAACTTGTTTCCATTATTATTATTATTAATTATTTTATCGGCGTGAGGATTTAGATTAGCTCATGCGCTTTTTAACATATTGTACGAAAATGCATTACTTTATAATATTTAGTTATCAAGAAATTCGTAAGATTTTAATATCTTAAGTAGATGATGATTGCCATAAACTTTTTCTCTATTATTTTGTAATTCTAAATCCCGTTTGAAAATATTTTTTTTATTGAAAGGAAATTTATTGCAAACAATAAAATATTGTTTTCATTTTTTTACTCTTTTCTAAAATTATTCACATTTAAAGATATATATTTCAAAAACCAACATAATTTATCTTCGCTACCAGAACTTCAAGGGTGTGTTTTGAATGACTTTTAAATTAATAAAAATATTTTTCTATAAGTACTTTTAAAATTTAAAATATTTTTCTATAAGTACTTTTAAAGAATTACTAATTTATAACCTAGTCAATACAACTTAAGCAAATCTACACTTATATAATTAGTTTAATTTAAAAACTATTTTAGAATAAATAMTTAAGAGATGATTATCTAAAAAATGACTTAAAATTAATTAACGCTCTTATTAAAAAGAAAAAAGAGATCATTATGAAAAGAGAAAAACACAAGTGCTATTAAAATCGAGGGTTTATCAAAACTGAGAGACAAATCCTAAACATAATTTACCAAAAAAGAAAAATAGAAGGAAAAAATTCCTTACCAATTAAGTTGGGAAATACCCAAAAGAAGTTTTATCTTTTTTCTTCGAAATTTCTTCATCAATCGTTTTCCTAAGCAGAGACATGTGAAAACGGATATTAAAGGTATTTTTAGAAATTTCAATTTAATTAGGGTATGATTTGGATTTAATTAGTTTAAGTTATTAGGCTTAAAAATTTTAATCCCTATTTTGATTAAACCTCACAATTTGTTTAACCAGTTTTAACCCATTGAAAAAAACTTACGCATTTCCCTGATTTTTACTTTATTTGCCAAAGAACCCTAATACAATATTAAAAAAAAAAGAAAAAAGAAAACAAAACAAAAACCCACTTTGCTCATGCTATACGTAAATTAAAAAATGTGCCATGTAGTCAATATTGTAACCATTGTAACGATAAAGATGCTTCATAGGGTGATTAGACCAATCTATTTATGAAGATTTAGAACTCTTAAAAGTGTATATACGAACCACAAATGAAACTTAAGCTTCAAAGTGAGCCTAGCTTAACGGTAATTGAGGTATATCTCCAATCTCACTTAAGCTCAAATTACTGTAGAAGTTTAAAATTTTTACACGTTATATTAAAACTAATTAACTCAAAACTATATGAATAAAATTGGTGATTTAACATAATTTTATCTTTTAAGATACCAAAATTTTAAACTTTGTGACGGAGGATAGCAAACATTTTACATTCTAACTATGTATATATTATATTTCAATTTTAAAAATTGTACTGTAAAAAAAATAATAATAAATAAAGGCAGAGGACTACAACCTCGCATAAAATTTGTTTAGAAAATTTCAACCGATCCACCCACTCAATTAAAAGAAAAAATAAATAAATAAACCAACCATAGAGGGCATAGGTCAATTAATTGAAAAAGATATCTTCTTTACCCACCATAAATTTACCTGACATGAACATAATTGTGTGATTAAGACACTTATAACCTATTTTTGTGGTCGAAATTCTAACCTAATCATTTAAGAAAAAAAAAGAAGAAAAAAATTTGATTTAGCCCAATAAAATGGATATTTAAAATTTAAAAAAACAATAGATCTTATAAAATAATATCTTTTTAAGTGTCATATAACTCTTTTTATTAAGTTTTAGCAAGGTTATTGAAAATAAATTTGATTCAAAAATTAAGAATAACATTAAAAATTTTGAAACATCACGGGGTGAAAAATTAGAAAAGAAAGTTATAATCATAATCAAATTATTTATTTGGCTAAAATAAAATATAAACGTTGTAGGAATATGCTTAAAATTTACTAAAATCCATACATATATATAATCAGAAAGTTGATTGAGATAAGAGATATTTTTTTCAAAAAGAAAAAGAGAGAGATAAGAGATATTTAATTAATGTGATATTGTCCTGTAAAAGAAAAAAAGAAAAAAAAAAATTGATATGTGAAGGTAGCGAGCCCTACAAACCGTACATGACGGTGATGTTCAGGCCAGGTAGTCGTATCACGGCCATCTGTGATTGGTTGGGCCCTACTTCATCTAGTGACTTGTTGTGTTCTAGTTGGGTCGTCACGTTAGAATGTGACAGTGAGGAAAATTTCGAACTATTTAGGATTTATTTTATATCACGACAACTTTTTCTTTTCTTTTCATTTTCATTTTTCTCGGTTCATAATAATAATAAATAAATTAAAAATTATTTAAAATATTTAAAAATATTAATTGCATTTTTAATCCTCATTTGGCGAGACTTGTCTCATTCAGTTTCTAAATCTCGATTAATTGAATTATCTGCTCTTGGTATTATTTTGAGATGTTTTGTTACGAGCTTCTTCAAATAGAACTTGTTGCTATTAGTTCGATGATACCAGACGTAGTTAACGAGAAGTAATATTTAGGACAAACAGATTGAAAAACTTACGGTAGTCATAGATACAATTTTGAATCAACAAGAAAAACGGTAATATATGTGTTTTTGTAATATAATGTGTGAGAAAGATTTCTAATACTTCTCACACATTATTAGAGATATTTGGAAAAATTTAATCAAAAGAGACGATAAAAGTCATGTTCTTACTTTCCCTTTTAACTTATATTATTATTGTTTAATTTATCTTGGGGAAAAATACAACTTTTCCCTTATCCTTAACTAATTAAGTAAATTTTTACCTTATATTTGGTGTTTCATCATATTAAACTTTAAAAATAAATAAATATTACATTTAATATCTCTTCAAAATTAAAATTAAAATTTGCTCATAAAATAACTAATAAATTATAAAATTCTAACTAACACAATAAGAAAAGCAACATTAATAGGCTTCAACCCAATCATAAAAATACATCACCATGAAATGAAGTAAATAACAAAATGTCAAAATTCAATTATCTAAAAAAACATGAAATACAATTGAAAAAATAAATGCCAACTTGAACATAGATCTGAAGATACTATTTATGACAAAAAAAATAAAAGAAATTCGTGAGTTTAAATCGTTGTACTAAAAAATTTTTGAAAGAACAAAAATTTGAAAAGAAAAAAAAGATAAAATAGTTGATCATAAGAATATCATACACCTAATTACAAATTATAATTTTCGCCAGTTAAGTAAGATTTATTGGTTGAAATTATGAATTTAAGGTTAAAAGTTTGAATTTTTCCCCATTATTTTATAACTTCAATAAATGGGCCCTAAATTGTACCATTATCAAACACATTGAATAATTGTATTCCTCATCCACAATTTTTTATTTTTATTTCTCAAAATAATCGATTCTCGTTCCCTCTGATATATCCCAATTTCCAATTTGGTAGTCTCGATTCTCTTCTGTCGTTCCAAAGAGGCAAGAACCAACCATTTTTTGAGTGTTAACAGAATCTGAAACTTCCATTACTGGTTATAATACAAGAACTTTGCTTGAAATCATTGACAGTCAACACAGCGTGGAAAAAGTTGATAAAATCAATGGCCCCCTTTTCAAATTTCGATTGCCCTTTTTTAATTACTCCGAGCTTCGTGTTCTCCGTCTTTCTTGGAGAAGAACAAATGGCCATTGTTCTGCCAACCAGCTCACCCACCCCTTTTAAAAGGGGAATTGAAATTCCCCCTTTATGCGAATGTTCCAGATCCCATCTTCTCAGCTCTGAGAAATCCCCCCTTTTGATTTACAGGTAGATCTCTGCCATGGAAATTGCCCTTTCAGGTTCTTCAGTTTCGCAGCAGTGCCTTCGTCTTCCCACTTCCTCCCAGCAGCGCCACAGGAGCTCCTTGAAGATCCCAGATGTAGCTTCTTTTGCTTCTTCTTGATCGCCAATCTTCGCTTTCCCTACTGATGCTGCTTGATTTTGTGGGTTTTTTGCTGCAGATCTTTGAGTTTAAGCAGAAATCAAGAAGAATGGAGCACACCCATTTGAAATTATCTACCACTGTCAAGTAAGTTGCCCTGTTAATTGGGTTTCTCTGCTGATTTGGGATTGTAATTCTTCTAGTTTGCATTTTTGTCTTGAATGAATTAGTTGTTAGTTCTGCTATTTTTGCCCCTGCCAGCTGCTACTGATTGTTTTCTGCCAGTTTTGGTTGAATTGTGGATTTAACAGGCCAGTAAATTTGAGCTTCCTTAAACTTTGAATTTGAGCAATCACGTCCTAAACTTATGAAATCTTTGCAATTAAGTCGTGGAGTTGTAACTCTGTTAGTGGCTCATTTAACTGCAGATTGACTTTGATACTTCGAACCTAGGTGCTAGTCAGGCAGTTTATGGGTGAAAATTACAGAAGGAAATTGAAGTTTCAATGATGAGATAATGCCTTAACTACAAGTTATATGTTGTGTTCAATCCGTTCTATTGCATTTTCTTGATGTTAATTGGGTTCTATTAGATTTGAAAACACACATGAATTCTAAGCTACTGCTCATCTGTTCATTCAACCTTTATCTGCTGTGTAATAAAGGCCATGGATGTCGGAAAATCTGTTAGTTTCCATCAGAAACGTCCTAATTCATTAAGAAGAATGAATGGAGTTTTTTAGGCGGTTCAAATAAAGAACTCTGACTATTTAATGACTTAATCTGCCACATTGATGCAACTTTTCAGATTGATATAAAGAGAGAAGCATTTCCCTCCCCCCTTTGTTACTCTTACTATCAACAACTAAATCATGTGTTTGATTTCTTTCCAAAGTGATGCATCTTAATTTTTTTCCACCTATACAGCTGCTGTGCAGGACAGACTCAGGAACTTGGAACGAACAAGGTGAATGGCGTGATAGAAACTGAAAAGGGGTGTGACTTATTTGAGGATATAAAACGCCGATTCCTAAGCTTTAAAAGACATACATATATGTAAGCAGCGCACTACTATTCTTTTGATGGATACTAAACGTTGAAAGAGAATAATTTTATTCCATTTGTCAGGAAAAATTTAGAACATTTTCAACGTCTCTCTGATGCTCAAGCTCCAAAGGTGAGCATCCATCTTCCAAATTCAATGGGTTCATTTGGGATACATAACATATGTGGATCCTTTAAATTGGATTTCTCTTAGCTCAAGGGACGATAATTTCAACTGACATTTTGAAGACAGTTCTTGGTGATTTCTTGTGCAGATTCTAGAGTTTGTCCCTCAAACATATTGGGTTTCCAGCCTGGAGAAGCGTTTCTTGTGCGCAATATAGCAAATTTGGTTCCACTTTTTGAGGCATGTAGTTTAATAGTTTGAATTGTATCAATTGTTGAGGCTGTTTATTGGGTCATTCAGTTGGGAAGAAAGAGAGGAACTTTTTATGACTAAGTAGAAGACATTGTTGTGAAATTGAAAACTTTGACAAATTTTAAAAATAGAAAACATTTTTTTTTCCTTTTTAATTTAGACTGGAATTAAAAAGAGAACATTTTTAGAAGAAGAAAACAGAGGAAAATGTTGTTAAACAAACTTAGTTTTTGAATCTCATAAAATAAAAAATAAAATAGTCTTCAAACAGATCCCAAGTATTGTTAGCCTATAAGATGAAGTTTTTAGATTCTGATAGTTTGTTGTTAAACTCTTTACTCTTGTTATTTTTACAGAAGGGACCATCGGAAACACAAGCTGCATTGCAGTTTTCGGTTAACACGCTCGAGGTGAGTTCTCTTTCAAAAGATATCAAAATCCGTGTTTATTGATTAAACTATGTCGTGAAAGTTTGCGAATATACTCAAGCTTAGCTTGTTAATACTTCAGAAAATTAAGTTTTCCTCAACAAACAATCATTCAACCATAACGTCAATGGAACTAGTCATGATCATACTTAATCTTGTAAATGTGGTTTTATCGATTTCAGGTTGAAAACATTTTTGTCATTGGCCATAGCTGCTGTGGGGGCATTCGTGCACTTATGAGTATGCAAGATGAAAAACCGAGGTTTGATCAAGATAAGATCAATCATTTATTTTGAAAATGCTGCATGTGGTTCTTGAAAAGTTCAAACTTTCTGAAACTGAATGCAGTTGTTTTATCACAAATTGGGTCATTAATGGGAAGAATGCAAAAATAAGGACAAAGGCTGCTGCTTCCAACCTCAACTTTGACCAGCAATGCAGACACTGTGAGAAGGTTGTCTTTCTTTATACAAATCCTTAAAAACTGTTTGAACTATCAGAACTGGTGAAAGAATATGGAGACACCCAAAAACGTTGTTCATATCGGTCTTTAAACTTAAGCACCTTTTGCATTTATCCTCTGTTTCTTGCTCATGTCATTGCTAGAACTAGTCAAAATAATTTGCTCATTAAGTACATTCCAATCAAGTGCCGTGGTTCGTATCCAAAGCTTCTTTTTGTCCATCTTTGGCAGGAATCGCTCAACAATTCGTTGCTGAACCTCCTGACATACCCTTGGATTGAAGAAAAGGTGAAGAAAGGAAGTCTGTCCATTCACGGTGGCTACTACGACTTCGTCGACTGTACGTTCGAGAAATGGACTCTTGATTACGAAGCAAGCAGCTTTAAAGAGGAAACTCGCAGAATTGCTGTAAAAAATCGAGAATTTTGGTCCTAGCTCTTAAAGTATGCCTTTTCTCTTCCCTTTATAATGTTGTTTACGATTCCATTTTCATGTATACCTTCGCAGCCTTGTGATGAATGGATATGGAAGAATAATTTGCCTGTGTTAGAATTGAGTTTGGGAATATTATGTTTGGATACAAATGACTTTCTTTTTGTACTTCATTTATACTTTTCACATAAGGGATATTCCAACTCCAAGTACTTTTGCACCAATTAAAGAGGTCAAGGTTGGAATTGGATGCTTCATTTGGGTTTTGACAAGCCAACCAATAACTTGATTTTACTTCATAGACCTTGAGAATGAGGTTCTTCTTTCCACATCCCTTGGTCATTGACGACACGCGTAGCATAAACGCGGAAAAATTTCTAGTACTCCCTTAGTACATAGGTCCAATTTCACATATTCCCACTTAGAATTTTCTTTCATAAATAATTTTATCTTATCTACTGCTAAAACATGACTTACAATAAAGGAGAATGATATACTAACTTGAGCATATCTCAAGATATATATCATCGATGATAAAAAAGTCAGAGGTTTGAATCCTCACCTTTACGGGTTGAACTCAGAAAAAGTGAATACATAAGACAATGGACGGCAACTTTTTATTTTCCTCTGTTTTTTCAAGTGTTGGGAGTGTGTGACCAAATTCTTCTCTTTTATCTATATAACCTTGTTACTTTTTATTATTGTTTGTTAATTTTCTTTTTATTTGGGATAGACCATGATCGTGAGACAAGAGGGGCAACATATTTTTCTAACAAGAAGCCAAAGTAGGGGGAAATTATAAATATATGATAGAAATACAGATGACACAATGCAATACAAACTAAAACAAGCTCCCAAGAGCTACACATAAAAATCCACACCATTGGAATGTATAAAAACAACCATACTCAAATTGTATAGGAAAGAACACAACTATTCTATACCAACTCAAGGGGAAGGAGTTGCAGGTGGAGGAGAGAAGAACGGGAGTGATGGAAGTGTAGTCGGGATCGGTGGGATGGGTGGCAAGTTTGGAACCGAAGTTGTCGGGAGAGGAGGCAGCGCTGCTCCGCTTGGGATGTTCATGGGGAAGCTTGGAAGTGGAGGAAGTGAAAGCTTAGGCAAGGAAGGTTGAGCAGTTGGCAATGTAGGTTGGGGGAGATTTGGGAGGGAGGGAATACCCGGTATGGTCGTGGGATTCGGCAATGTGGGCAACGGTGGTAGCGATGGCACGATTGGCAAATTTGGAATCGAAGGCGGAGCGGTTTGTAGAAGATGACGAGCTGCTCGACCTGTAGGGAAGCTTGAAAATGCCATAGCAACCATGAGGACTAGGAACAAGTAGTTGGAAGAAGCCATATATCTTGATGTATGAGGGAATTTATTGAGCTTTTGAGAGGTTTTGGGATGGAGAAGTGAAGAACTTATATTGGTTTATATATAGTTTGAGAATTTGGAGTTAATGGTCAATTAGGTTGGTGAATCTGACCACCAATTTTCCTGTTGTAAAAGTGAAAATTAGGCATCATGAAGTAGAAATTAGATCACCAAACAGAGGTTCAAATGAAAAGAGTTGGGACTGATCATACTCAGCCAAATGGCATATTATCAACACACCAAGAAGCAGATGACCAAACCAATAAGGAAAAATTTCAGTTATTTTCCAAACAATATGGGTACATAGAAAATAAAAATGACGTGTATTATGGTTGATTTAATTTAGTTGCAAGATCCATCGTCAAAGTAGAGCTAGAAAGATAGTAGTTGAAAATTATTAACGTCTTGTTTGATAACTATTTTGTTTTTAAAAATTAAGCTTAGAAACGTTACTTTTACTCCCGTGTTACTTTATTTTGTTATATAGTTTTTATAAACATTAGGCCTAATTTTGAAAGAAAATAAGTAATTTTTATTTTTGAAAGTTGGCTAGAATTCAAATATGTTTGATAAGAGAGGTGAAAAACTTACCAACGGAATTATACAAAAATAAATATAATTTTTTAAAATAGAAAACAAAAAATGAAATAATTATTAAAGGGCTTGAAATGTATGTATATATATGTCAATTTCATTCTCTAAAATCAAGAATCTTTGCAAATTTAGCGAGGGAGTAGGATAACGAATTAATGATTCTCATTCTTGACAAATAAACGCAAGATTAAATCAGTATTTAAAAAAACAAAAACAAAAACAAAAACAAAAGACAATTAAATTGGATTTGATCAGATTTTTAATTTAGAAACTTGGGGAAATTAAAGAAATTGTTCTACATAATAGGATTTTATAAAATTGTTTTATGGAGTCTTTTTTTTTAATAATAATTTTAGAATTGACTTTGTTCATCGTTATGTCTTGACAAATGTAGAATAATTTCAATTATTCTGAAAAATAAATAATCTATGAAGAACTTTTAGAAAACTAATCGCTAAAATATATTTTTATTAGTTTTTGTTCTAAAAGACCAAAATAATTTTTTATTATTATTATTTTAATCGAGGATATCAACTTAGTACAACATTATTTTAATTTGCGTTAAACCTTTTAAGATGAGAGGAAGTTTTTTTTTAAGTACCACATGTGGGGAGGGGTTTCGAACTCACTGCTTGATTGGAAGGTATGTGCCAATTACCGTTCCTCTTGGTTGAGAGAGAATGCTTATCAACTGGATTATCAATTTGATCCTAACTTTTTAAAGATTACCAAACATCCTATACGCATTGGAGGGATCGAGAATTCCAATAATGTGGCAAATGAATTTTTTATGACATATTTGATTTTAATGTCGGTATAAAGTTAGGTTGAGAACTAATTAAGTTGAACTTTACTACTATATTTGTAATGGGATTATTTAATTTTAGGAAATTAAGTTGCTAAAGTTGTCTATTTGGTGGGGGGAGTGGTTTCCTACGCTCCTATTTGGTTGGAAAATTTAGTTCAACCCCTCGATTTAAGTTGTAATCTTTCTTTTAAAAAGCTAAATAGACCATAGTTTAGCGATAGTTGACATATACCTCAAACTAGAGGTAAAAAAAAAAGTTGCAAACATTGTCATATATAAATTATTATCTGTTAAGTACTAACTTTTGACTTTTATAATGTTGTTGCTTTAATAATTTTATTTGTAATGATTTAATTTTTATACTTTAGGAAGCATGCCTTATTGTTAAATTCTTGAGTTTAATTTTTATTAAGTATTTAATTAGAAAGTAATTTATCGCTATATGAGGATAGTTTAGCGATAATTGA